TGTATTTTTGTATCTCTTATATCTTCAGTCTTTAGTAATAAGTATAGTAGGTTCGTGGACCTGTGTTACAGTTTGTTTTCCAATGAAGGTCCATCTTCTCCTTGGAAATGTATATTGATGGAACTGATACCACTTGTTTGGGTAAAGCGTTCCAATCACTGACCACTCGATGAGAAAAACAGAATTCTACTCTGAATTTATTAGATTGTGGTTTATGAATCTTCTTGCTATGGTCTCGAAGAATATTATTGCTGGTCGGAGCAGAAAGATGAAACTTATTAACACCTAAATCGTAACTAAAGATACGCAATGCCAATATGAGGTCACCTCGCGTTCTACGATACGATAAGGGGAGAAGTTTTAGGCGTTTTAAGCGCTCACTGTAAGGGAGTTTAAAAAGACACTTCACTAATTCTGTTCCTAAAACTGAACACACTCAAGCGAGTAAATATCCTCAACAAGACCTGGACCAGCTGCTTGGATAAAGTAATCTAAATGTGGTTTTACGTAGATGGTATAAAAAAACTTGGAACCCCTCCTCGTCAAAGCATTTGTATACTCGGTGAAGTAACTATAACGCACGAAAACCTTTGGCACCAGCTGCAATGCAATGCGTTGTTGTTCTCAAGTCGTGATTCACTGTAGCCTCCAAGTCTATGTTCCTGCACGCATGGAAAAGATGTACCGTCGATAGTATACTGGTAACTGTCACTGTGTCTAATACGCATGAGCACAATTTTTCTAGAATTAATTTCCAACTTCCTAACTTTGAACCGTCTAACTAACTCGTAAGGGTCAGCTTGGAGATCAAAATGACCAGCCTCGCTGCCTATTGTTCTCCGGTTTTTGACATCCTCCACAAAAAATAATGTTGACGACTTAAACAATGACGGTAATTCATTGACGTAGAGAAGGAGAAGTAGGAGACCTAAGATGGTGTCTTTGGGTACGCCACTTTTGACGTCACCTAGACCTAAATATTTATTGACTTTACGACCCAGAGTAAACATTATTTACCAACTTCATATTTTCATCGTTGAAATCAAGGATTGGTCTTGGTTAGATCATCATTAGAAACCTGGTACTTCTGGATGGTCATTTCGTCATCGGCAATGCACATTCCCGACCTTGGAAGTGGTAATCCAACTCATGACCTTCGGTCTCATGAGAGAATACTCAGTTTCTAAATCACTTGGTCGGCAACCAACGATATTATTGTCTAACATTGGTCAATTAATAATCTTGTGCAACCCATCATTCATTGCCTGCGGTGGGCAAATTTGTCATACCGAATAATAGTTGGTCACGGCTTCTCAACAGAACTCCAGAATTTATGTCTTGAAGCTAGTCACTAGCGAGCACATGATTGTTATTAGTCTAGAGGAATTTCGAAGACTATGCTACTTCTTATGAGTCCGATTTCCGTGGCGGGGGTCGTAGATTCTCATTGATTTGGAGTCTGATACTAGGACGAAATCGCCGACCAGTGCTTCCAGATTTTGAATGGTAGTCTAGCTTAGATCAGTTCGTGATTTCGAAGGTGGAAATACTATAATCACCTTGAATCCCTATATTAATAACTCGATGTTTGTCAAAGTTTTGTTTAAATACCGAATAGTTTAAAACAAGTGGACCTTAACTGAAATCTCGCATAGATTGATATTGTGATGATTAACATAGACTTACATTGTAAATTATTTTTAACATTATTCATGTTTTTTGCAGTTTATTCAGTTACTGATTTCGATCAAATTGTTTAGTTTTGACCTGGAACTTTTCCGACACCGATTGCATGGCCCATAGATTACCATTCACAAAATACATAAGTGCTCATACTACTCTTCGTTCTCATTCGACCAAATACTATATTATCAGATCAATTATATAATTTCATACTGACTTCTATACTAAATAATAATATAACTAGCATATACATTTAAAGATAAAGTCTTTCCCTAAATACTAGATTTTATATAGTAGAAAACTTTGGATTATTTGTTACGTTTTGTAATTACTAATTACACGTTATAATTGTGGACCTGGTGATCGATCAGTCGAGCTAACAAGAGACGGCTGAATTTCACCTGCGTATTTATATCCTTAAATGATTCTAAACGTTATTACTTAAAGCCCTCAAATGCCCTGGTACGGCCGAGAGTGGGTGGAGTCCGCTCTCCCTCTCGAAATGCTCTCACATGGCCACGCGTATATAGCCTCTGCCAGGGAAGTCCTACTCACTGCCTTCTCGTGGCGGGGATGTTGTTTACGAAAATGAGAGGACGAAATGCGAATGTCCGGCGCTTTGACCAGATTCCAAACCAATGGTGCACATGGGCTCCAGTATCCTGCGGGAACAAATGACATATGAACCAATTGTTGGTCACCGGCTACCATGGGACTGCATTTCCTTACGATGCTCCACTGCCTTGTGGATCAGGCCTTCAGGTCGAAGGCTCGGGGAGTGGCGCTCTAAGAAAACCACCTGCTTCGGTCTGGGCACCCGGGCTGTATCACAGCCCTCACACATATCAAATGAGATTTGTGTGGCGCATATGTATTTGGTGCCTCCTTGTAACAATATCTGTGTTAAAATAATAATAACACTATATATTTGTACAACAAACGCTAAATACAGTAACGTGTTGTTCTTATTACTTAATAACTTGGTTACTATTTTGGTAGTTACATTTGCAATCTGCTACAATATTTATAAAGTCATTGTCTTATTTGTGAACACTAAATAATACATACGAATTCATCTTCTTCATGGTTTGATAAGTGCATTTGACTGAAGGAAAATGATGTCTAAACTTGTGTATTATTGATTATTTCTAGGCGACGCATGAAACGACATAAAGAGAACAGAAATAATCAAAATTATATGACCTTAAATATATATATGATTTTCATTTGTCTAAATTATTCATATCAGATTATTTATGTAGGCGAAGTGATCAATTCGGAAATAAACAGTTGAAAAATAACTAAATTTAGATGTCCTTTAACTGGAACAGTAATAACGTTCTTGTTGGAGTATAGTACACATGTACGTGAAAACTGTTCACAAATTAAAAAACAATTTTCTGCTGTTATTCGAAATGCAAAAGTCACCATGGCATCTGATTCATAGCCTTCTGCACGCTGTTTTGATTCACAGTATTGTTTACGCAGTTTATAAGTTTTATAACGAAATTCCAATACATTTCTGAATAAGGTTTACATGAATGTAAACTCATTAAGAATCTAAGCATGATGAATGAATGTTATGTATATGTCAGGAGGATACGATTCAAAGGAACCAATATCTGTCATTGATCATATAATTCTTAAAATTATTTACTCATCTTAATTCTTTCATCACGGTACTATCAGTTATTGTATAATAATTTCAGTTTTATAGTTAATTTTCCTTAATTCGATTGTGACGGTTCTAAGAAACAAACGATCTCAATCTCTAGAGTTCACTTCAATAATTATATTGAGTATTTTTCAGTCAGCTACAACGTAGGACCAGGCACATATATGCATCGGTCCAAGTTGCCACACCACATTAGAACAAGACGAGTACCAAATTCAAAAGATAGTTGCTAAAATGGTAGTGAAAAAGATTTCATATAGGGATATGACACAGGGAGAAACAATTAGTTTGTGGAAATAATTTTAATCTCACGGTTTAAAGGAAGACAAAGAGTGTATACACCTACATCACTGTGGCCGATTCTGAGCCATGTCACACAGTCTGCAACCATTGGTTACAATAGACGCGCGAACCTCAACCAAGTAGTCTGTATCTACCAACATGGCTCAGGCCAAACGTTAGTGACTCTATGGACTGAAGTTTTGCCGGACACCACCTGAGGTTGCGACATCAGATGACAGTTCACCATAAGCTATGAATCGACTGGTAGTGTTCGAGTAAAGAGCCTTCACTAAGTTTATGTACTTCTGAAGTAAGCCTTTCAATGATAGACACTGCCACAGAACCTCTCGGTCTACCGAATCAAATGCTCCTTTTAAGTGAAAATGACCATCATTTTCGAACGCTGATAAGCGCGCTTGTGTTCTAAAATCTGACGAATGGTAAATTGTGGTCCATGTAGCCACGACCAGGTCTGAAGCGGGAATTAGAAAAAGACACTGGTGGTCGGTAAGATATACATTGAAGAAATCACCAAACTGAATCACGAGGCAAATGCTCACTCGTAATCCTGAAGGGGAAAGGAAAAGTTGAAGACGAAGGAACATATTTTGCATGGAATTTTAAGCAGATATCAAAAGGATGAATAGCAAGTCGGAAAGGAGAGCAGAAGACAGAGTTGTTTGGAGAATCATGGTCGGCGACCTATCCTCCTACATTAGTGGTAGAGGACGCAAGTGAGGTGAAGTAAAAATGATAGCATAAAAGAATGAATCAAAAAACAACATTTTATTAACTAAACATATATATTTGTACATTCAGTGTCATTTAGGCTTCAAAAATAATCAGTGCCTGGATCGATTTCGTTCCATGCTTAGAGAGCTAATTTATTTTAGTCTTATAGTTGGAATTTCCACACAGAGAAATGACTATATCAGTTCCAAAATATTGGACTACTGATTGAATAGCAAAAGTTTTATTTTTAATTTGCATATACATTGAATTCGCAATCATAATGCTAAATTAGGTGTATGTGTCTATTCGTGAAAAAAATCGATTATTGCTTACATAAAACACTTGTTCATCATGACCTTCATAAAAAAGTCAGAAAATACAAGCAGTCGAAAGTCACTTTTTAGCTTTTTATTTATAGAAGAGGACGAATATGAGAAAGAAACATAAAAGTATTTTAGATCATTAAAGTCATTTTTTATTTTAAAGATTGTCGAAAAGTAAATCAATAAATGGGATACTTATAATAAATACACGTTTTGTGTAGTACAAAAACACAGACATAAGAAACATTTCTTAAACAAAGATATCGAGAATATAACAAAACTCAAATGTTCATAGAGAAATCTTTTTAAGGCTGTGCAGAAGGTTGTCCAGGTAGATATTGTCCCTGAAGACCACCACCAGCAAGGGGAGCATGTGCGTCAGTATTGCCTCCACCAACACTAGGAAAAGCACCATTACCACCTATTGAATGAGCAGGAAGCATCATGTTAGGGGGAGAAAACGCTGCATTTGGAGGCATTGGCATTGTAGGATAAGCGCCATAGAATGGATACATTGTTGGATAAGGAGCCATTCCTAAATGTAATAGGACAAAAAATTAAAGTTCAAGCAACAACTTGATTGAACCACATGATAACAAAAACCTATAAATAAAACCTATCACATAGCTCAATTGATTTTACTTGTTCCTTGTGTTTACATTTTAAAAAAATTTATCTTCCAACCAAAATGGAAGACTATGTCTAAATGTGTAGAAATATTCAACGTTATCACAATGATCGTTGTTTCGAAATCTATTGAAAAAGAATGCACCAGATTTTACCTATGAAAATCTATTTCAAAAAATGAACGTTCCAAATTATTAATCAAATAATTCTTCTCCAGACGAATTCAATGAAGTTTGAGATTGCTACAGTACTCGATCATATAAATTAAGCAGAAAGTAATTTTCCTTATCTGTTCAAAAAGATATTCGACTACAAACTATTTCCCTAATTGGCTTTTAATAACCGAAAACGAAAATACATTCTTTTTCACTCGATTAATTTGAACACTAATTATGGATTGTGGCAACCATCTAATTTGCAACTGATCACAACCTATGTGTTGGAATAGAGGTCTTAAGACGACAACCCTAATTAGTTATATTCTACCTTGAACAATAAATAATCGATTTGACAAACGTTTGGAAATCATTTGAAGTGAACTTGTAGGTGTGTAATTAACAGTTATTTCAATGACAAAAAAAGGAATTTAACGAAACTCAGGAATCAGTTATCCTAGTGATTTCCATAATATTTAGTTCAAGTTATCAAATATGCATTAATTGGCATAATCTAAAGATTTAGTCAACATGACTTGGAACGAAGAAAGTGGTCGCGGTCGTAATTTCATAATTTCGACCCATAACAGGCCGAACTAGGTACTTTCATACAAATCAGCTTTAAGAGATTATTCTGTGACACAATGCAAATAAATTTACATCCAATTTTAATTATGTAGTTATTAGTAATGATAACCGATTATGAAAGTTCACTACAGTTTTAATCTTAATTTTCCAAACGTTATGTAATTAACTGATTATTACTTTGTTAAACCGACTCACAACAATCCAACTGGCATCGACTTTCTACTCACTTATAAAACATATATAATTAGTGTAGAGCTTTGATGGAGAATTAATTGAAAAGAAATATTTCTTCTCTAAACGTATTTTTTTAGTGTCTCAATAGGAAAATTTAGTGAAATGAAATAACTAAGTATAATAGTAATGACTTAAAACTAGGAATACATAAAATGTAGGATGAATAAATCAGTAGTAACAATCAGTAATGCATAAACAAGAAAAGGGAAAGGTATAAAGTATGTTAACAGCTTTTCCTTAATAACACGGAATAGCTGGTACTGTGATAAAACGAAACGCAAATAAAACCATTAATAAAAAACGAATTTTTTCAAAAGATAAGAACACCATGTTATTTTCGCTGAGGTGAATCTACTAAACACTGATTAAGTTTACTGAAATTATAATACCTGTATATTTAATGTTGGTTTAATTTTCAAAGCTGATAGTCTGTCATGGCCTAAGTTATGTATCAGATTTATTCTACTGATGTAAGAAATAATAGCATTTATCCTGTTAAATGATTAATAATACAATGCACCTGGATCAACGTATTGAAAGGAATGACCAATGATCTTGCAATATGTTAGTATAAACAAACAGTATAAGATATTCATAATTTATGTAAAAAAAGTGTATCACAGTTATCAAAGGGACGAGATGTTATTATCAATGATTTAGTCATTATCTTGGAACAAAATTTCAAATAGGGAAAACGATAAACTTTAAGCCATGGTAGAATTATCGTGTCGTCTAACTGAACGCTTGATTCCGTATTCTAAGCTCTTCTAATAACATCGGGCTAAATCTACACGGCAACTTGAACATGAGAGAAAAGGCGCGAAGTGTTAGAAGAAGGCTTTGCTCCAAAGTACCTCTATGTATAGAAAATCGAGAGTATTTATAGTGATTCAGATGGTCTTAGAAGATTCTAGAAACACACTAAATAAAGTAACTGAATAGGTATATATCCAATCAGAAATGTGACATTTGATTCTTCGCTTTCTAGATGTTTCTATGAGGCTTCTACTTAGCTCTGGTTAGATAAAATGTTTCTCAACGTTTTCAGGACCTTTCTGGACTCTTTTGAGGAATAATTCGGATCTCCCTAACACGTTTCTTTGTATCTACTTGCAATATCAAATTATATAAAACTATCAACAATCCTTTTATTTTAATCTTCACCTACACAATAAAACTAGTATTTTATTTAAATCGTTTATATTGTACAGAACTATGAATAAAAATTACGACAAATTCTTCAACACACAGGCACACACAAACATACCAGTATTTTATACAATTTTACCCATTAATAAATTTGACTAAAGCAAGAACAGAAAGGATAACAGAATAAAACTGAATGATTGACTTAATCGAAGTAATCACAACTAAAAAGTTGAAATTAAATTAATGCATTTAAAAATAGACACAGTTTTAAATCTCTCATCATCCTAGTACGTTCTATTTTTTTATTAATCAATTACATAGTATCTCATTTCATATTCTTAAGTACAAATTCATTCTTGAGTCAACCTTTGAGCTTTACTCATCTTATTCTGTAAATCTATTCAACTTTATGGTTGTTATTACGTAACGCTGCAGCATCAATTTCCATTCATTAGAAACATTTCTAAAATCTTCACATTCAGTAACAAATAAATGCTCGGTCACTTTACAAACTTTTTCATAATTATTGTCATTATTCTACTAAACCTTAATAATATGATGTAAAGGTGGTTATAAATGATGATTACTATTGTTTCTAGGTTGTAAGTTACTTACTTACTTACGCGTGTTACTCCCGATGGAGCATAGGCCGCTGACCAGCATTCTCCAACCTACTCTGTCCTGGGCCTTCCCTTCTAGTTCCATCCAATTCTCGTTCATTTTTCGCATGTCTATTTCCATTTCTCGGCGTAATGTGTTCTTTGGTCTTCCTCTCCTCCTCCTTTGGCCTTGAGGATTCCATGTGAGGGCTTGTCTTGTGACGCAGTTGGGTGCTTTCCTCAATGTGTGTCCTATCCACTTCCAGCGCTTCTTCCTGATTTCTTCCTCCGCTGGGATCTGGTTTGTTCTCTTCCACAGTAGGTTGTTGCTAATAGTTTCCGGCCAACAGATCCGAAGTACTTAGCGTAGACAACTTTTAATAAACACCTGTATCTTCTGGATGATGGCTTTCGTAGTTCTCTAGGTTTCCGCCCCATACAGTAGAACTGTCTAGACATTTGTATTGAAAATCCTGACCTTGGTGTTGGTTGACAGTTGCTTTGAGTTCCAGATGTTCCTCAGTTGTAAATATGCTGCTCTTGCTTTGCCGATCCGCGCCTTCACATCTGCATCAGATCCACCCTGTTCATCAATGATGCTGCCCAAATTTCTTGTTAGCTACTTAGGTTGTAAGTAGATAACAAGAATTCAAAAAAATCAATGATTTCATCTTATTCCGATACACTTCTTATTTTTACTTTAGTCAAACACAAATATGATTTTTTTCAGTAACAAAAAAGCACACTAAACAACATACCACAGAAAAAACTTCCATTCCACATTCTGTTGAAAACAATATACATCAAATTTTTAATGCTTACCATATGGTGAAGGTTGAGGCATCACAGGATCTAGAAACAAAATTAAATAATGGACCATGTATACATGAATTTATTCACTAAGCAGATAACTACAATTGCAGGTATATTATGACTTTAAAGAAAAAAGGCATTAATTAAACATTGAGTAATAGAAAAACCACAATGCACTGTATTCAACTGTTTATACTTCTATTTTACTCACAGCTAATATCAGTAAACAATGAAATGAACACGGACATAGTTACAGCATTATGTAATTAAATTTCCAAATGTTCTATTAGACAAAAATCTATACAGAATAGCTTAAAATAGATTTTCGACCAGTCACTTTGAAAATTTTATACTACGTGCAAAACTTAAATTCATCTACCCACCTCCTCCTAGAAGAATGTAGATTTAATAGCCAATTCTCAAGGCCAAACCTAACTAATCTATGATTAACTAGTCACAGTCTACCATAACATTAGAGGGAACAAAGGTCTATATACTCATCAGTCTTTTAATCTTGAGGGGTAGGATTCAGGGAAGTGTGAATCTCATTTATGGTCACTACTGTGACAGAAGGAACTAAGCTTTATGATATTTAGTGGTTAATGTATAAGATATATCTTAAAATATTAGCTATGGCAACAGACTGATATCAGTTGTTACGGTAAATGGTAGAATCTAAAATAAACAATCTTAAAACAAATTGAGAGATAAATCATAACATACAGCCTTGAGGATTCCATGCTTGTGGAGGCATCGGATATGTGGTACTATTCATCATGGGAATTGTTGGTGTTGGCATTGGAACTTGAGGATGAGCGGGAGGAACAGGGTTGACACGGTTAGCATAAGATGGTTCAGGTCGAGTAGGGACTGAATAAAAACAACAGAAAATAAAATAGTGTTAGCTAATTTCAAATAAAATGATCAGGTATTGTATAAGATTCTGTTAGTTTTATCTTTCATCAATTACCTACAGTTCATAATGATTTTACATTAAATTATATGAAGCTTTAATAAGAGGTCAATAGGTAGATAAGATACACAGGTAGATTGAAAATCATGCAAGTAAATTAAATGAGTTTCAGTGAAATTTAATAAATCTGATTGCCTTATTTTTTTGTTTCTTTCTGAAGTCTATTCTCTATGCTTAGTGTTACTTATCACAGATACTATAATTATTTCAAATTTTACGACGGTTATCTAGTTAATTTCAACTCACTACGCTGATATGGTGTAGGAACTTGGTTTGACACACATTAGTGATATGCTTTTACGTCAGTTATGATTCATTAATTTTGCTCTAATTACTAGTTTTCAGTTATCCTAAAAAGTAATACGAAAAAGAACACTGAATAATTTCAAATAGATTAACTTATTCACCAAAAGGTTTTTAGAAATACAAGAAAAAACGGAACTCAAACGTTAACGTAATCAAGATAGAAACAAACAAACAGGCAGCGACAAAAGTCTAAGAAAGAATTTCCAACTTACCAGATGGTTTCGGAAAGACTTGTTGGTCTGAAACACGAACCCGGCTTATATTTGTTGTAATATCAGACATTAATTCATTTTTCTCAGTAGTACGTGCAGCGCAGAAATCTTCAATCTTTCAAATGTGAAAATGATGAAAGAAATATACAAACAACAGTAAGAAATGAGCACAGTTGTTCAAAATCTAAATTAAAATTGTAACTGCATTTTTAATACCAGTTAGACATATCAGCAACTCAATCATCATACATTACTTAGTTACCAGAAATAAATTTTGTTTAAATTTTTAGTCAATGATTTTTGTTGTTAGAATGTCGTCCGATTTATTGCTGTCGAAACCAGGAAATAATACATCTATCATTGACGTAATATAAGTGTAGTTCAGAAACGAATCAGTACTTACTTCACTAGTATTTTACATCTGTATAGTTTTCTCTTGACAAGCAGAGTACCAAAAAAAAACTATAAAACTTAGGTTAATATAAGAAAGCAAATTAGTATAGTGAAATTTTCTGTATAAATCCATATCGTGTGATACTACGAATATCTAATTGTAGATAATTAACAGCTAAATTCACTGAATTCTGGGACTTGTCTAGAGGACCAAAGGTCCTGAACTGGAATCCCGTGTGCGGGATCGTGGATGCGCACCGCTGAGAAGTCCCATACTAGGACGAAACGGCTGTCTAATGCTTCCATTTTCAAAGCTGTACAATCGCAAATATATATACTTATTTTTTCAGGATGATAATAATTACAATAATAAGGGTAATAAACTTCTGTTAGATATAGTGACAATGAGATAGAATAAACAATGGTATTAAAAAAATTTAAACAGGGAAACTAATAATCGTTTGATTGTTAGTGGCTTAAGTATCCATCAAAAGATAGGAAAATTATCATTGGGGAAAGATGGCTCAGCATGATTAGATAAAATGTTGAAATTGAGATTAAATGTAATCAGGAAGATCGTAGAAGCAGAAATAAACCAGTTGGGGGTAGAAGATTTAAGATGGCTATGAAGAAAAAAATCATAAGACATTAAGAGCATGGTAGAAGAAGAGGTTGCATCAATCTCTTTTGAAATATCTAAAGGCTAAATATCTAAGCTTTACCTTAACAATATATGAATCTAAATCCAACTTACGGATATACTTAGGACCTAGATTTAGGAAACGATAATTAAGGCTTTTAAGTACCTGTCATAATTAACATCACATCACATCAAATAAACTTTAGTAGTTAAATAAACACAGATTCAATTATTCAACACCATTTAATTGATCGTGTTGAATGAAACTCTTAAGTAAATTGTACTAAAATGATAATGACCGAACAATAAGTTCCGACTTCCAAACATAGCAAACACAACATCACCATAACAAATCAGAATTCGAAGATGATAGCACAAAAGGTGTCAGTAAATAAAGTTAAAGCCAAATAATGTATAATTTACTTTAACACCATGACTTATTTATTGAAGGTTACAATGAAACTATATGAAGTACAGAATCAGTTGTATATATTCCCATTAAAGATCCCAAAAGAGTAACTCTTAATCATTACAAATATGAAATATAAAACTGTAAGATATTTGTTTCACATCAACTTACCTTACACTGGGTATTCACACAAATCTCAGTAAGCTCAGCGTAAAATTTCGTGGCATCACTAACAGCTTCTTTAAGTGCAGAATACTCATCTGCAGCCAGATTAAGCATTGTCAATAGTCCTTTGTCTTTTGAATTACCATCGGACCCACCGTAAAACATATCAGCTTTTGTTTGTAAGTCATTTAATAAACTTTCTTGTTTATTTAAATTTTCTTGAATAAGTTCACGCACAGACACCATTTTTTCATCAAGCATATCAGTAGCAATTTGTAAATCAACTGTTTCATTATGTTCTCTATAGTACGTCAATAGCTTTTTAACTGTCGGAAAATACAAATGCATATTAAGTATCCATACAAGAGAAACCTATTCCAAATTAATGACTTGATTCATGAAAGTTATTCACACTAACAGAAAGTGATACTGTGGGATAATGGGTTTTAGCATTAGACTTAACACGTGCAACGAATTTTTGGATACGCAAATATTTTCACTTGAGATATGAACTGGGTCAGTATCTACAATGAGTAACAGTGCATCACCCGTGTAAAAAATACAATTCTGTGTTGGAAATCATTCATTGGGTTGTGTCAATTTCTCAGTCTTGTGTGTAGCTTCCCATCTATCGATCAAGACTTCATTCGTAAACTTAACAAACGAAATGCTTTTGTTCTGGCCCGAGAAGCCCTTCTTCACAACACTAATAAGCGTGCAACGCCAATATGCAAAAATGACTTGGTAAACTAAATAATAAGTTCCCACGTTTTGTAGACAACTCATTTCCGACTTTCTGATTTGATCTGATGAGCAGATAATCGTTAAACTTTTTTTACTGACTAATAAACTATTTAATTCTTCTAATGCTTTTAGCCTAAAAGAATGAATTAAAACCCTGTTAACAGAAACTGTCTATCATCCAGTAACAGTGACAATAAAAACAACTTCGAACTATCAAACTACTATTTTAGATTGAATTAATCGATAGTTATGATGAAAGTTTTATGTGAGTGACTAAAAGAAACTAAGTTGAAGAAAAATATTCTCCTGACTACTAAAATAATATAATGAAATTGCACACACATGCAAACACATACGCACAAATGTGTATATAGTCCAGCGACTAAAAGAAAATGTGTTCATTTTAAGTAAACAAAACGCAAAATAATGATTATTCTAGCTAACTGTAATGAAAGCAAATATTTGCTTTCAATTAATGCCAAAAAAGATGAGGAACAGAAAAAACCCAACCTAGTGTTATTCGGTTTCATTGCAGAACAAGGTTAATACTATATGTTTATATTTTCTAATTTATATTTTCTAAACCCAGTAAATTAACAAAATTCATTGATCGACAGCGTTTTAACGACGAAATGCTAATTTTCTCGAAATACTGAAATTAAACGCGAACTATGTGAACAAAGTTCGTCTAACGCTAGTTATCTTCAACTACACAAACCAAAAATTATCTAAGTGAAACGAATTAATGGAATTTTTTCCTGTTCAAACAGCTGTCCTTAATTCCATCAAGGATAAATATCGCTTCAAACTTGAGCCAATGATATAAGCCTTCATTATAAATTGAAAAAGTTTTAGGAAAATTAGAAATTTTTGAATTATTTACTTTTATTGTATTATTATTATTATTATTATTATTATTATTATTATTATTATTATTATTATTATTAATGGCTTTATTCAATATTATCTTTTTGGTACAATATAGAATTCTCAGCACATGGCTAATAAGTAACTGCATAATTGTGTTTCAATATTCCCCTCACTTGAGGCTTCCAGTAAACCTGTTTGTTTCACTCTTTACCACTGGTGGCACGATTGTATTTAAAGTATGATTTCCTATTTGGTGTGCTATGCGATCTGATAATTCGCGTATATAAGTTAGTGAGTGTTTGAGATAGCCCTTGGCTGTACTGTGCTGACTGGATAGGCTGGGTGATTGAAACAATAATAAAATGAGCTTAGCAACCGACTGATCTCCAGACTCAAGGCTGACAGGGAAAGGCTTGTGGATAAATACATTAATAGGAGTGTAACTTACGTTGCCTCAAGGTCAGAAAGGTAAATTGGTCAAGTCTAGGACATTAGACTACAGACAAAATAGTAGGAGCAAGATAGAAAGTTAGGATCGGGATTCTGATTGGTTAATCTAGCAGGTGCATTCGATTAGCGTCACATAACTGTAAAGATCTTAGAAACGATACTGGATACGCAAGAAAGTAGCAAAGATTTTTGAAGACGTGAATTTGTATTTCAACTTTACACTACATACCGCCATTTTATAATAAAACTACATAATTTCCAGCCATCTTACCCGAAGCCTTGACTCACATATTACATACTTTCCGTGCACCCAACAACCAGGACGTCTGAATACTAAGGATTCAAGTTTAACAATCAATATCTCTACAAACGGATGCCATATTATATTTCGATCATTTATAGCTTACTTTCCACTTATTTAACCACATGAGTCCATGAAAGTTCGTGGCCTCACCAACCGATTTATAATTCCAATCTAGTACTCAATAGATCCATCAAAAGCGCATAAGGACTCAAAGATTTCCATGATCAAATGAACACAAGTTGCATGTGGATCTTCACCTTTGAAGGGAATGTTTCGCAAGTACAAAGCAATACAAAACGAAATGATTCGTAGTTCGCTCACTACACGTAGTGTAGGTTGGTCAATATTAAGCGATATTTTGCTAATCGACGACTTATCTGGGATAAATAAACTCTCAAGATAAATAAACAGCTTAGACCATTCGAATGAACACGGAGATTTACTAGTTTGAGACCTAAATTAGTAAGCTCAGTAGCCGCATCATAATTCTACACTTTAAAAAATTGTCAAAATATAATTGAGAAATAAAAGATTACCATAATAAATTGAATCGAGAAATCTTACCTAGATCCGGTGAATAATCAACTAATTTCAACTGTTCTATTAGATCATTTCTTTCCGTCTTAATTAATTCTAGCTTGTTGCATAACTGAGTTAGTTCAGATTTTAGTTCTTCATTATTGGCTTCAGTATTAGATTCGGCAAATTTTGCATCTGATCCAATAAGCGTTTCAAGTTCATCTTCTGGTTTACTTAATATTTCAAAATGTTCTTTATGCTTTTCATATCGTTCTAAAAGAGATGCATCAGTTTTCGTAGTCTAGATCAAATAAAAGAATCAAAAGAGCATACTTGAGTTTTGAAATAAAAATTTTAAACAAATAAAAAAAATCTCATTTTTATAAATTATACAACAATATAAGATTTTCAAGGTAGTACAATGTTTGATACAATGAATTATGCAGTGATTCAAATGTTAAGTCGGAAAAACTTATCTAAAATCTAATCTATAAAAAGAAATAAAGATGTACACTCTTATGTAAAAGTCCACATACTTTATAGTTTGTTTAGCCCAGAGAGGGATATGATTTGAAAAAAACTATGAAATGTTCAAGGTTGAAAGAGTCTAATATTGTTTCCGAACTACTACAATTGAATTCGAGCACCATTATCTGAGGGTACCCAAACCACTGATTTCTAACATAGATCGTTTTGGAGCTTGGACCACCAGCCAATGACTGCAAGAATTAATGACCTATATGATGCCAAACAACACAAAGAATTTTTGTTCAATCCTATTTCAGTTGGCTCTAGGAGTTCTGTCATGGAGTACAGCTTAATATGCCTCAACTTGATTGGAGTCAAAACGTCCGACACCTAATAATCGAGGCAGACAAATCATGAGAAGTTATTTAATACTTGGACGGTATATGCTAAAGATCTATGCAAGTTCGAGGATTCAGAAAGAACAAACAAAGAATCGAGGTAAAAAGGCTTTATTCGTGGAATCCGATCGTAGCTCTTGACATGATGTAGTGGTTGAGCTTACCTATAGCAATAACCCAATCGAGCTATATTGCTAAGTATATTCATTCCCTTATATCCCACACTGCTAGGCAGGTTGGTTGGTGAACGGTGGGACTAAAGGCAGTAACTCAAGGTATGAGGGCGAAATCTAACCGCTGATTGTACTGGTATGTATGGCAGCAGTTAGGTGTTTCCTTGAGATGCTGTCTTTTCACAACAGGAGGAATGGATTAGAAAACATCGGCTCTAAAAAAAACACTACACTTTATCCCATAAATTTCCGTTTTCGGAGACAAGACCTCTAAAATATAGAGCTAATTCATCTACAACTACTTGAAAGCAGGCCGAGTACGCAACTTTTCTCATGCAGTTTTCCCTTTGAATCTGTGGTCACGCTTCATGGTCACTATGGTCACCCACTAATTCAGCTTCATCTCCAAGTAACTCGGAGAGAATTGTCGTTCGACAATGCGGGTAACATGGAAGTGACAACTGACATCATACCTCTAACAGCACTCTAGATCCACTCGTTCACAACCAAATTCCCTCACCACTTCTAAATATCCCTTCTGTCCCCATCATCAATCCGTCGCCTATGTGTTTCATTACCCTAGGCGCAGTTAATGCTAACGATTCAATTTCACGAAACGTCATTCCTGGTATCCTGAAAACTCTGTCTAACCTACATGTCGGTGATTTCGCGGTTCGAACTTTATGTAAAGATGGACAACAAGTTTCCTTACCTAGGAACTCCAGAGTCTCATTCCACCGATACACGCTACGTCTACGTAACAAGCACAAGGGATTTAAATGCGATCATTTACCTGACCTTACCTGGTCAATATAGAAAACCAGAGCGATTTATTTTCCATGTATCTGGGGTCTTGACTGATAATTTTCGCTGGAGTACACAAGTATTAGGCGCAAAAGCGGATCATGTGCTCCTAAAGTGGATCTTAACACAGTTGCTTGAGTCGTACAACACACACTATGTGCCTCCGTTTCCACTAATCGCAGTTCGGATGAAGTAAAGAACGAACTTTGTAGACAAACTATCATACGTCGTAATCATAGTAGGAAATTTCACCTCTTAATGCGGCAGTCCAAACTAAAGTGAAAGACATAGAGATAGGTTTACAGTATCTTAGTTCAATGAACAAATAACAGCGACCGTCTGCAGACACTATGCTTAAACAACCGTTTCTACTTAGCAAGCACCAACCTTAAGGATAAAGAGATGCATTCTCTAACATAATGACCCCTAAAATTGACTCAACAAATCGACGCAAATAAACCATATTGCCAGCAACCATCATCGAGGAGGATCAATAGGAAACTATATGTCGTTAGACACTGATCATCCTCCAGTGAGAGTGAGCGTTTATCTGATGTTTACTGGACGCCGAAAAGCCCAGGTAAGAAGTCCCTTTAGAGCCCAGCTTAATAAGGAAACAGTCGAGTATATTTTAGAAACAACTAGAGAGAAAAGTATTTAGTCATAGGAGTGATGTTTAGTTCGGTAGGCTCGGGGAACGATGAAGAGCAAGCACAACTCAAACGTAGACTAACAAAACGTTTACTCAATGATCATGAGCAATGGTGGGCAGCGGGAGCAAAAGAGATGGGAAAAGTAGTGGCGGTAGGCGACTTTTCAGGCTTATCAAAATGCAGGTATTAAAAAGTATATACAATGGTCTACTCTTAGCTTATACGATTAGACTGATGGACAGAACGCTTTTGGGAACAGTTTAACTTAACCTTTCAGTCAATATGAACGGGAAATCGGCACAAGTTCCCCAACTATTAGTGATGTTGAGGAAGCTACAGCTGATCCAAAGCAAGGAAGAGCAGTGTGCCCTGACGAATTAACTGGTAGTTCAGCTTCAGCAGTTAGGCGGACTAAGATGTTACCTAAAGTCTTTTGATCACTTTCAGTAACAATGCCAACACATTTTGGATGCGTTACTCTCTTTCTAAATTCAAAATGTTGCTTTAGAACTAATCGACGTCAAGCCCTGATTTAATGATAGGGAGTAATGTAGTTGAGTGACGACCACTTCATTTGACTTGGAGGTCTCATCAGTCCTGGAAAATTTGTAAGTAATTAGATGATAGCATGTTGTAATGGGCTAAATGATGGAATAGATCGGTATCTCTGTTCATGCAACACAATTTAATAGATGAAGTCTGTCAGATCATGTAACCAATTGCCCTTAAATCAAAAACAGAAGAGACTGGTAAGTCTAATGTAGATTATTTTAAAAAGATATCATTTACATGAACTCTAAAACGCATTTATTTAGTAAAATTTTATAGATGCTATCCTTCAGTACCACTTTTGTGATTACCATCATGACTTCTTTTCTTTTCTATTCAAAAGGTTATTTTATTCAGGAATGTTAATATTTTAGTTTCTTGTTACAAAAGAATAATAGCCGATTACTGAACAATGAATTGCTTACTTGTTCAAGTAAATTCAAACATTTTTGTATATCAGAACGCCATAATTTGTTCAATTCACTTGATGGTTTCCGTGACCAACGTTCACCATATTGTTTTCGTAAACTATTATCAGAATTCTCTTCATCATCTAGTGAACTTTTCTCCTAAATAATTGAAATAGAAAAATATTGATTTGATAGTAAATACATTTGTATAGAAAACAAGGAAATAGATTTACGCTAATTAGGAATAACAAAAGTTCATCTCGACTAAGCACATACATTCTTAAGTTATTATGAATCTGGGACACAATTGTCTAGGTTTTCAAACAGTGATGATAGAAAATCAACTGATTGAAATTAAAATTTATTCAATACAACTCAGTAACCACGTACAGGTTTTAAGTATTCGTCTTCAAATTTCTCTTAGGTGCGGAAGTTAGTGATACTGCTTGCCTGACAAATTGGATTGGAGCAGGACTCAATTTTGTGCCCAGTGTTTCGAAATAACGGTGCTCTAACTACAAAACTACTAATTTATCACCATTTTTTATAAGAAATAATCATACAATTATATAAGTGAGTATAAGTTAATAAATTACGATAAATGTCATATTATGCGCGGACTAAAGGTACTCTTGAATAAACCAACACAAACGTGTGTTACATAATTATAAAAAATCAATTGTTCGAGCTATTGTGATTAAAGCATACTTTTGTGAGAGGAAAAACATAGACAGCCAGATAGTATAATTATTTTAAGCTTAAATAAATGTGTGACTAAAAACAGAATATACGAACCCAGATTCAATTTCAGAATTATAAATTTAAATAAATATTTATAACTCTAAATAAATTCAGTGTTTTTACAATTTCGATCAAATGTATTGAAAGCTTACAGCCTCAATAATTTCTTTATTACGTTGAACGCATTCAGGTATCGACATTAGTTGCTGATACAATTTTTCTGCCCCACCATCTTGACGTATAGAAGTAGCTTTGGATAAAATATTATCCGTAATTGAGTTTGATCCCTTAGCAAGTAATGCTGCCGGGAAATTGTATGAAGCTAACACTCTGAAAATATCGAAAAAAAACACCATTAGTAGCTTGTTACATAGAAAATGGTATAGAAGACATTAAAACATTTTCACGAAAAAAAACCGTAACTAAAATAAGGGATGGTTGAAGAAAAGAAGTTTTCTAAAAGCCACTTTCGTAGTGATGCAACAAAACGATTTTCTTGGTCAAGAACCATAGGAAAATCGCGGTAAGATCGTCGACGTACACACTATAATGTTGATGAAACCGAAAAAGTGTAACTGCAATTTATAAACCAATTACCAAAACTCTTACAATTCACAAAAAAGAAAGTCTGGCTTTAAAGTAATATTCCACTTTCCACTTAAAAGACAATGCCTACATTTAAGTATTCAGAGAAACACAACACGAATTGTTTAACGAAAGTAAAAAGCATAGTAGACAAATACGAATGTCAGTGGGACAAGCTGGAATAATACAAACGTAGAAGATAAAATGGTTCTGGGCAACAAGCAGCATCATCATAAGGAATGTATCACCATCGAAACCCTAGACAAGATTTAAGAAAGGAGGAACAAGAAGACGGTAATTAACAACAGTCGAACACGAACAGAGAAAGTGAAGGTACAAGCTGAATAAACAGAAGAAAACAAGCAATTGAAGAGGAGCAATACATCTGACAAGCAGAAGCACATGGAAGACATAGCGAAGACAGTGGAAAAAGCTACAAAAGAAGGAAATATGAAACAATTATATGATAAAGAAGAAACCTACGGGGAAATATAATAAACCAGAGAAACCGGTCAAGGACAAAGAAAGCAAGACGATCACAGAGATTCAAGAACAGAGGAACAGATAAGTGAAACAATTCAAGGAACTCTTAAATACACCAGCTTCATTGAATCCACCGGACATCGAAGCAGCACACACAGACTGTCCTGTACATGTCACTAAACCGACAATCAAAGAAATACACATAGCCATCAGACAAATCAAGAGTGGAAAAGCAGCTGGACCTGATAATATACCAGCTAAAGCACTAAAGCCACACATAGAAATAACTGCAAACAGGCTCCACGTTATCTTCAGGAAGATTTGGGGGGAAGAACAGATTAGAAAGAAGGACACCGCCAAAATACCAAAGAAAGGAGATCTGAGCAAGTGTGAGAACCACAGAGACATCACAGTACTGTCAGTACCAGGAAAGGTTTTCAACAGTGTTGCTAAACCGGATGAAAGACTCAGTAGACGTCCAACATCGAGATCAACAAACTGGATTCCGTAAGGACCGGTCGTGCACATACCAAATCGCGACACTACAAATCATCGTTGAAAAATCAATCCGTCGGCCAGATACCATCAGTAAGAGCCTACTGAGAGTGAGAACAAACCAGCTTCCAGCTGAGGAGGAAATTAGAAAAAGACGCTGGATGTCGGTAGGACATGCATTGCAGGAATCAAACTGCATCAAGAGGAAATCCCTAACTTGGAATCCTGGAGGGTAAGGGAAAAGAGGAAGGCCGAAAACACACTGCGCCGAGGACTGGAAGCAGACATCAAGAGGATGAATAACAACTGGAAAAGATTGCCCAGGACAGAGTTGAATGGAGAACGTTGGTGAGTGGTCTATGCTCCTTCACAAGGTGTAACAGAAGTAAGCGAGTAAGTACACTAAAATACCAGTAGCAGATAAATGACGATGTTTACACATAAATCGATAAAATGACATATGTAAAAATATGCAACTAAAGTGTAACAATGAGCAGTTATAAGGAAGTTTGAAATCGCCAAAGATTCAATTAGAACACAACGCGCAATACTAACTACTGTTGGAGACGGTTGGAAGAAAGATAGGGGCGGCCAAACCAAAACTTGACATCGGTTCGTGAAGTCACTAACTTTTAGTCTTAGCCATGTTGGTAGATGCAGACTACTTGGTTGGGGTCCACGTGACTATCGTAGCCTATTGGTTGGAGACTCTGGGTGACATAGCTCAGAATCGATCACAATGGTGTAGGTGTGTACACTATTTGTCTACCCCTAAACCGTGAGATTAGAATCGTTTCATATCTTTCTTTCTACATACTAGACCTTTCTTCCTGTACTATATCCAAATATGCAATCTTTCTTTTATATATTACTGCCATTAAAATAACTACTTTTATGAATTCGGCGTTGACCTTGTGCTAATGAGGTGTGGAAACTTGGACTGATGCGTATATGTACCTGACTCTGTGTTGTAGCTGACTGACTGATCATTAGAACAAGCGACATCCTGAGATAGTCATTTATATTACGCTTCTGTGTTTGTGATGTTTGACGTGATCAAGACAAGGATAAATAAGGCGTTTATTTTACCAGTAGAGCGCGAGGGATAGATAATTGATTATTAAAGGGTAAAATTTGAAACAACCCTCTCCGTATTGCTGTGGACATAGATTACCAGCATTTTGTCACTCAACATCTTCAAAATGTTGCTCATGTGTTGTAGGATCATCGGGTAAATAATAATAGTTTTAAGCATTGAGTGCTAGAAAAAGTTAATGGGACTGTTAATCAATATCGATTATGACAAATGGAACATACACCAAGCAGGTCCAACCACAACTCCTGCATCGATGTTTTAAATTAGAAGTTTTGAACATAATCTTGATTTGGAAACAGTTTTGCATGGTTTCTATTTGCGCCTGATTCTCTAATATTATAGTTTCTTCTACACTAAGTTTTTATTTATCTGTTGACTGGAAATGTTAACTTGAATGAATATATATTTATATGGGATGACCAGATCGAGACAGTCACCATATACACAAATTGCTTGAAGTTTAAAAGCCACTCATAATTGGGTTTCAAATGTCTGGTTTTGATATTAATTTTTTATTTTATTTCCGTTATTACACGGGTTAAGTAAAAAATGCACTCACTCATTCACTTTAGTGGATGCTCCTCGTAGCGTGCAAATTTCGCTGTCGATAAGAGATGCACGAACACCTTTAGCAGTGTTAACAGCTTCTGTAACAGCGATAGGAAGTAGATTTTCGAAGTAATCTTTGGTAGTCGATGAGGACAAAGGGAACGTGAGTGGGGTTTTTTTAATGACATCAACAATTTCGACAGGAGCAAGACTTCCTCTGGCGGGTACCTTTTCGTGATATATATGGTCATTGTCTTTTATTGCAACTGATTCTTCTTGTTTAAATTGTTCCACTAAATTCTTTCTCTGAAAACAACTACTTCGAGCAACACATTTGATTAGCTCATAAGCAAACTGTATTAAGAAAAAGTAGGATAAGATGAGAGCGCAAAAACTTAAGACATGAAAATTTAGGTGTTAATATAATAGAAAGTTCTGAAAAAAAACGGAGTAATGCATTATAACTTTTTTCTTCTAGATGTTTCTAATTGTTTCTGAAGCAGTAACATAGGTTTTGAAGTATATCGACAGTGTTAGGCTTTTTATCCTCATATTAAGAGCCGAATAATAGCATTTACGAATACTTTTATAACAATATCAAAAGCCAATCCGTAATATTTGAATAAACAATGAGGAGTTTTAGCAAAGTTAGAATATGACAATTACATAATGGGATAGCATGAAACATTCATCAAAATATAAACAAAGTATACATCCGAAAGTTTTAAAGAATGAATTAATAAAAGAACTTATTCATTTATGTAGGAAGTGATTAAGATATAATATCACGTTTTAATTATTCTGAATATAATTTTTGAAAATAAATTCGTTGCTAGTATAGGGAATTTTTACAGTTTAAATTAAGAACTGACTTAATCACGAAGCTCTTATAAAATTCGAATTATTCTCGAACAAAAAGTGATTACAATAATTTGACACACTATTATCAGTTATATGCTTTCCAGCAGACAGAATATGCTATCTTATTAACAATCTCCGAGATGATTCACGTATATGGAGAAACCGGAACAGGAAGATTATGGTGGCGAAGCCATGGTTACTATAACATAGGAAAATTGCTGGTAGAATTTTCAACAAAATCAAACATTACTGAGAACTGGAACCGATTCAAGTTAAACAACCATTGGAAACCTGAAAGTATTAGATGGTCATTTTGTTTTAGTATGGGGCTTTCCAGAAGTTAGGATACACGACTACAAAATTGGGAACCAAACCTGAGACCTTCGGTCTCGCGCACGAACACCTAACCTTTAGACCACTGAGTTGGGATTCAACGATGTACATGTCTAGCTAAAATCACTCCACGATACTAAGCGACCACCTTCCATTGTGCTTGGTAGTTAACCCTGATACGGTTGAACCCCACTATGGCTTTTCACTTAAACTCCGGGCATTTTCTTTCGAAGCCCGTTATAAGTGGGAAAATAATAATTATTAGTATGATGGAGCAATACTTGGGATTAATTGAAGTTAGACTTGCATACCACTGGATGCCCGCCCAGTGATCTAGAGGTTAGGCGTTCGCGCACGAGACCGAAGATTCTGGGCTCGATTCATGGAGGTGAGGTTGTGGGTGTACGCTAATACAAAGTCTCATGCCAGAACGAAACGACTGTTCAGTGTTCCCAGGTTCTGAACAGTGGTCTAACTTAGATTTCTTTTATGGTCTCAATAGTCTGCACAATCCTATACTAAAAATAATACTGAAAGCCTTCTCTACATACCAAAACAAAATGTTATCAGGGAAAATGACAAATGATGATTAGCATATAATGACATGTAATGAAGAATAGTCAAAGAATAGCTTTAAAACCATACTGCTCTTCTAAAGAAATCCTTCAACGATATGACAATATTTTCGTTGCACCAATTTATGATTTAATGGATGAAAAGCAAGCCTTTATTTCGTTGACCCGACACTTTAGACATAATATCCTAAAAACAGATCATTCATAAGAAATACTTTTTAAAGATACTAAAAAGTCAGTCACCTGAGAATGAGATGACGATATCTTTATTTGTAGTACCCACTTTTAATTATGCACTATTACGAACGTTCTATATCAATATGAATCAGGTTTTAGGAATTAGAAGAGAGTTCACAAAATATGGTAAATTCACATAGATCAGGTACAGTTATTGTCCTTATCTAATGGAAAAAAGTACTGCCTAAAAAGTTAAAGTGGACTAAGTTTAAAATTGCTGCTATTCTGATATGTTTGTAGACTAAAAGGATTTTCCTTAACTCTGGATTCAATAAAATAAGCTATCTCTCCTGCCCGCTAACTATATTGACAAGTTCAGGATTGTATAGAAGCTTTTCTTGGCAGAGACCCCGGGAGAATCGAATTACATACAAATTCATTCTATTAAGTATTGAGTAACTAAATGATCAGTAGTGACAGCGATTTTCACCGATCTCAAAATTACAGTGAATTAATCAGCAAGATGAGAATGCATTGGAAATCAAACTAACTGCATTCTAAAAGAACTAATAAAATTGGAAATTTACTGAGAGTCAATGAATGAAAAACACTGAATTAATCAATAGAACAAAAACCACCTTAAATCAGCATGCAAATTTTAAGAATAATTTCCTTCAGAATGTGTCGTATTTGGTGATTGAGCATTATGAACGTATTCTTAACAACACAATAAAATAGAAAGGCCAGGAAAACGTTTGCAAGAGTAGACAGCACAAAATAGATTGTATACTATCTGATTATAGATTTCAAACTATTCTCAGTATTTCCTTCATATCCCCTTAACGGCTAAGAGAAACAATTACTAGCTTCAAAGAATAATTGAGTGACTTGCACTAACTTTACTCTTTATTAAATCTTAGCCCAAGTCAGGCATTCAATGAATATGATCAGAATACATTATAATGACCTTGGTAAAAAAACACCTCTAACACTGTCAAATTATTTACAACTCAACCTTATCATTACTGTCTATAAAACTAACAAACTAGTAATTCTACAATAAGAATATATTAGATACATTTAGCTACATCTTATATCACTACAATAAGGCGATCTGAGCAAGAAAGAAGTTAGCTTAAATGCACTGTAGCTTTTTCTACTTTTTTAATTGAAAAAGATAATTGGAACGTTGAAAAAAGCAATGCAGCTTACTGATATACGAGCTACTTGTTCCCCGTACTGTTTGGCTTCGCAACAAGCTTTAGATTGATGATATTGTGTCAGAGCTTCATATAAACCTTTTTTCATGCTTAATACACCAGACCAATCCTAAGATAAGAATGATAAGGAAATTACACTACTTTTGGAACAACATTTTTAGCTCCACCTGAACAATCTGACAGGCAGTCTTCGTAAAGGCTAGTCAAGGTTGATGCTATTCTTGCTAAAATGGCAGGCTTTTTCTTATCTAAGGGAGAAATATCATATTATGATACTGTATCATTACCTTTTTCAGCTTTCGAGAGGACACATTCATATGCTTGAGCAAGCATAAGATTACTGAACAGTGTTAGTGCTGATGAAGTTAAATCTGGTAGAGGATCTTTAACCCCAGAGATCAAATCTGAAGATATGTAATCAAATGTGCAGGAAGCAATCTGTAAAGGAAATTAAAAAAGACGTGAAACATGGTGATGAAACGGAAGTTTTCGCAATTATCTCCATGTCATATTAACATGTAAAAAGATTTATCACGAAGTGCTCTTATCGTTAATGAGCATTGAATCCTGTTAATCGAATAATGCAGTGTGACCAATAAGATAACATTCCGCTACACAATTCACTCGATGTTATGTAGTTGAAATACGAAATTCCACTAGGAAGTGTCTGAAAACCTAAACAGATTAGGAATAACGTCTCAAGCTGATTAATTTATCTAGGTTTCAGAGTGCATAGAGACAATTAGAAGCAAAAGTGAATTTTATGGATGTTGTTTAAACTTTCCCTCTTTCACATTTGCATTAAAATCCACAAATTATATGCAATCTGAGAACCCTTTTCAAAAATCAAGTGAAGTATTACAATTATTTCTTTATTTGACCACATAAATATTGGTACAAGGGGGCACCAAATACATATGCACCACACAATAACAATCAGTGTGAGGAGATACAGAATGTAAAGTGTGTATGATATAGAGAATAACAACAACAAACAGAAATTAGTGTATGAAGGTGAAATAATAATAATAATAGTGGGAGAAACAGTTCAGTTAGTAAAAATACAACCAGAAAGATTCCTTTCAGTTAAAGAAGTTGCGCTCACTTTTACGAAGGAAGTAAAACAAATTACCACAGGATCGCCACTGGTTTCTATTCTCAGCCATGTCTGATAGTGTTTCAAACCACTGTGCTGCACCATCTCTAGGACTTCAATTAGGAAGTCGTGAAGGACCAACAGAAGCCAGTCATTTTCAGCATTCTTTCATACCTCAACACAATATCATACACTGACCACCTCACTGCTTTTTGCAACCAGTCCCAGCGTCGGTAAGCAATGCACGACTTGGAACTCTCTGGGACGACATTCGTAGAACATGTCTAAGTTACCGAAGTCGATGTTTCAAGATAGTGACATCAATTGAATTAACGTATCTGTTGTGACTTTATGTCCGGCTTTTTATCAAGTGACCTATCCACCAATCAAAACACGACTTATACAATCTTAGCACTGTGCCAAACAAAAATGACGTTCGACCGGTATGAGCAGCCTAGCGTCCTTATTAGTCCTATGTCCGCCTAGCCCGTTCACTTGAGTCCAGAACACCAATACCAGCTTCCACTATGCGAATCGAATCGAATCATTTATTTCAGACATACTGGCTTTACATATCAACCAAACAGACCTCAACGCACCATAAAATAGGAAATAACATTTGTACACAATAAAGCCAAAAAGTGGCTGTGAACGTAGGAAACAGTAGTCAATAAACTAAACATAGCTTCAGAACAGTAAATCGTACAATAAATTATACGTCAAAATAAAGCGTATAATAAGAGGAATATAAATATACATAATCTAATTATTGAATAGTTATAACATAAGAATGTATAGATAATATTGGTCATTTAATATGTCTCAGAAGTTACTTGTGATTTAATCTTCGCTCGGACATAACAGTATCTGTTCCGAACACAGGATGTTGAACCTCTGCATTACTAATATGGTGTTGCCACTTGATGTCAGCAATCCTTCGGAGACAGTGATGATCGAACACAGAGATTCGTCTAACATCCTCAACTCGGAGAGGCCAGATTTCACAAGGATAGAGCAAAACCGCTCTCACCGACGCGTTGTAGATCCGACCTTTTACAGCCAGACTAACATCACGAAGGCGCCAAAGGTGGCCCAGATTGGCATAAACCGCTCTGGCTTTCACTATACGAGGATTGATCTCATCACTCACGCCACCACCAGCACTTATGCAGCTACCTAGATACACGAACTCGACTACTTCTATCTGCTCGCTATCCAGGGTGAGTACAGGATTAGAATCCTGCCAGTCTTTGAGAAGTACTTTGCACTTCGAAGGTGCAAAGCACATACCATACCTACGGACACTGATTGCCAACTAATTAAGTGCGGACTGCATGCTTTGGGCATTGTCGCACAGTAAGACTATTATCCGCATACTCAAGGTCGAGAAGTCTTTCTCCAGGCAACAGATCCACACCGCCTTTACTTACATTCATCAGGGCTGTTTCCAGAATGTCGTCGATGGCAAAGTTGAAGAGGAATGGTGAGATTGGGTTTGTTTCAGTGAGCAGTTCGTTACCCATAACGTCGTCAGTTTGGCTGCCGGGTAGGCCACTTTCAAAGCGGAATTTATTCTGTGATTGATAATTCCGGTGACTTCATCTCCTTTGAAGCGCAAGTATAGGAGACAGGTTTTCTTTTCCACTGTAACATGCTTAATCGGGGGGTTGGTATTAGCATATTTGTGGATGAATTTCTCCGGATATGCATTTTCACGTAGGCAATTTCTTCTTCAAGGCAATACTTTGAGCAGATTTTGCGTGCGCAGTCAAAAAGGTTTCGTACAACACCCTTTTTATAACTCATAGGACAGAAGCTGATATAATTGAGATAAACTCCACTCCAGGTATTTTTACGATGGATGTGTCTTTGTAATGTACCATCTGGTTTTCGTCTAATTCCAATATCTAGGAAATGGAATTTATCATCAACTTCATGTTCCATAGTAAATTCTATATCTTTGTGTGCTTTATTGACCACTCTCCGTTTTGATGAAGCCATTGCGATCAAAAAACTTAAACCGGACTTATGCATTCAAAAAATACTTTAATAAACTTATCATTACCCCGGTAACCCTTTTGTGTGTGTGTTTTGGTTATTTGGGTTATTTTATTCATTGATTTATTTTAAAATATTTATACTCCTCCCCTATTACCTAATTCTTAAACCACAAAATTTTATTCACATATTTCCACCCCCTGATCCTCTTAAATTATCTTAACTTTTCAAATTATATTTAATGATTATTACATAACCTATCTTATGATCATTCAATTCCATTAATCACGCAATTTATGAACTTCACTAAACTATTACACCACCCACCCTAAATTAATTCCTTTTTCTAACCTCTGACCTGTACTAGCATATATATATATATATATATATATATATATATATATATATATATATATAGTTATTATTGTAATCCAGTTATTTACAATCATTTGTGTCAATTGTTTAACATTATCTCAATGTTAAAAATTCTATCACATTTTTGGTTGTAAGCAGCTGACGAGAAACCTCGAAATATTATGAATTCATATTATTCTGCATCAATGTTTGTTCTTGCTCTTGTAAAAGTACTTTGCACTTCGAATGTGAGAACCACATACCGTATCTACGGACACTAATTGCCAATTGATTAAGTGCGGATTGCATGGCTTGGGTATTATCGCACAGTAAGACAATATCATCCGCATACTCAAGGTCGAGAAGTCTTTCTCCAGGAAACAGATCCATATGATTGTTGGCCTATGATAAGTATGACGGTGTTCTAACATTCGGTGGAGGGTGAAGATATGATCGATACATCCTCGACCAGAACGAAAACCAGCCTGCTCCACGCGAGTCAATCTTTCTCGGGTTTTGAACAATCTGCGAAGTATGACTAAAGCCAATAGTTTGGACTCAGTTGGAAGTGTACTTATCCCTCGATAGTTGTTACAGAACCCTTTTTAAAGATAAGGACAACTATCGACTAATTCCATGATGTTGAAGCACTGTCTAATTGTCAGAGCATTGTAACTAACTCAGACATCTCCTTGACCAGAAAGTCACCACCATCTTTTAAAAGTACCGTAGGTAAGTCACATGGACACGGTGATTTGTGGAGCTTCAAGAGTTGGAGTTCCTTGTATTTCCAGTATTTACTGTCATTTCATTTGATTTGTTTGTGGGCTGTTGTACTGCCCGAGCACCCAGACCGAAGCAGGTGGTTTTCTTAAGGTGCCACACTCGAAGCCTTCGACCTACAGGTCTGATCCACAAGGCAGTGGATCAACATCAGGAGATGAAGTCCCATGGTAACCGATCACCTAAAACTTCTTGAATGTACAATGGTCTATTGTGTCGAATCAAGAATCCAAAAGTAAAAGTAAGTCCCTAACTCAAGAGATTTCACAAAACTCGCGTGCGGACTAAGAAACCTGGTGTTTGTATAATCCTGACCAGCTGGAAGTAACATCTGGAAAATTTCAGGGGCCGTTTCAACTTGTCCCAGTCAATGTCACCAAGTAGTTTGGTACCAACGAAACAGTCGGTTAATTTGGCGGTATTTCGGTCGAGAGTCTCTAAAGACGTCCTGGTAATCAAATAAGGCATTTTGGAAAACGGCTTACCTGGACAATGACCACAGCAACATCGATAGGACGGTTCTATCCTCATTACTCATCAGTGTTTTGAACCATGTGTGGTTAGGAAGAGTTGTTCGACCTGCTATTCCTACACCATTTTGACATCAATGGCATTCTAGAAACACCTCTGAAGAAAATATATGGTGGTTGAGTAGATATGTTTTCCGCAGATACACTTCGAACTGTTAGGCAGATGACATTACCTTACCGTGTGATGATACACAAGTTATCCAAATCACAAATAAATAATATCCGTAGGCACAGTATGTACCTCACGACTTCAAAGTGTGAAATACTCCCGAAAGATTGCCAAGGACCTGTGTCTGGACTCACTCAATGTAATGAACCGTAATAAAGTTGGAAAGTTCGTATCTTTAGTAATTGTGAGTCTAGTGGGTGATGTGACAGATAAGATAAATCTGCTTACAGAGAAAGTCAGAGTAGTTTATACCAATCTGGGTCATCTTTGGCGCCAGCATAATGTAAGGTTGAGGAATGTCTGGTTTATAACCAATTAGTCAGGGTAGTTCTGATGACGTCCGGTAACGCTTTGGGTTCGGTCATCAGCGCCTTTGAAAGATTGTTCGCATCAGGCGGCAACACCATGTTAATAAAGGATAAATTCATCAGAATGCGTTCAGGAGTAATGACGGTAATTCCATTGGTTTCACCACTTTAAAACGTCAACTTTAGTGGTCTGATCGTATTTTACGGAAATCATCCCAGCTGTTTTCATAATGCGCATTGTTTGCTAATTGCGGGACTGAGTGGAAAAGGCCGAGGTGGCCAGTTTATTAATGATATCTGTTAATCCAAAGCAACTAAAAATTTTGGGTCCCAGAGATTGTGAAATTCCGTGGCTAGACACGTTATCGTATATATATATATATATATATATATATATATATATATATATATATATATATATATATAAGTTATACATTGCATCCACATTTAAAAAATTATATTGTTGATACCTTGAAAGATTTCAAAGCTTGTTGGAGTGAATTTTCACAATTGGGACGGCACGATTCACCAAGTTGACTGTGAGCAGCACCATAGCAAAACAAGACATTTGAACGTTCAAATTTAAGAGAGCTTTCTTCTATGAAAAAAAAATTAACATCAAGTAAGAACTTACTTTTGTTAGATTTTCCAGAAATATCGCTCCACTTAAAATCAACTCGTGAAGCAACATTCACATTTAGACGTCCTTCTAATTGATACATTGCATCATGATACCTACAAAAATAATTCCAGAAACCAAGTGAAATAGTTAACATCAGCGTTACTATAGGATAAATAGACGCAAACAAATTGAAGTTTATACGAATATTCGTCAATATTAGAACGAATAGTTCGACAAAAATTGGGCGCCGAGTACAGAGAAGTCACTGTAGGTGAAAATTATACTTGAGATTATCTAAGCGATTGAAATTTAAATAATTCCAACGTTTCATCCAGCAAACTTGTCTGGACTTCTTCAGAGTAATAATCAAAATCATCAAAAAAATATATAGCGCTTCAACAATCAAATCAGATTAAATCTATACTGTGTTAACCCAATCATATTTGGATGTTGACTTTTGTAAATAGAATAACATGAGTCAGTTAAATGCGAATCATGTAAAAAGTTCACGATCTGAAAATAAATGACTGGACAAATTGTGTATGCGTATGTATGTGTAAGATTGAGATATTAATAGCTGATACTAGGTTTTAATGTGTTTTTGTATGAAGGAAAAAATAAAAGTGCAAGTTGAAGGTTGAAAAATTGTTACTGCATCATTGATGTGCATGTAACAAGAGAATCATCAAATACACATTTGTATTGTTAAAATAACCAACATTAATTTCAGTTAGAATAACGACGTATGTGAAATAAACAGGTTGGATAAAGAATGGGTCCAAATACTTGCTAACGAATATTTGCGACGTAGTTGCTAGTTGAATACCATTCTCTCGGTTCAGGCTATTCATATTCGCCCATATATACAGCGCTTCTGCTGTCAATTTTTATTTGTGAGTGTTAAAGCCTTTCTGAAGTATTTTGGTCCCTTCAAAAATAATCGTATGTCCCGTTTCCAACGCAAGTAACACGATCACCAACATCTCAAGTTTCTTTAGGTCAACTGAGAATTTGGGAACATTTTTCAAACATTTTTTGTGTACTTTTAACCTCACACTCAATTGTCCGGAAGTTTCTCCAACATAAGCTGTATTACAATCATGAGAATTCATCTCGTAGACGACATTCTGTTGTTCTTCCTTTGAAAACCTATCCTTAACTTTCACTAATGTTGATCTTATGGCGTCACTAGCCCGAAAATACACTCCGATATTATGTTTGTTTAGAATCCTCTTGATTTCTTCCAATGTTTCCCTACGGTAAGGGATGACCATGGTGGTCTTCTATCCTTTCAGTACACTCCAATTTACTTTTTCTTTCATTCCTAATAATCTTTAAAATTTCTTCGGGGTAATTGTTATCCCTAAACACAGGCGAAACTCTATTCAATTCAACCTGTTGGTCTTCCTTATCCGTAATGAGATTAATACTTCTGTTAATTAAATTTTTTACAACTGTGACTTCCGTACAAAACGCATGAGCCGAACCAAAATCTAAGTATCTTTCAGAATGTGTTGATTTCCTGAATACGTTTTCAACTTATTATTATTTCTTCGTTCAACCAAACAATCGAAACGCTAGTTTGTGGTCACTGCATTTTATTTCCTTTGTTAAATTACTGCTCTCCGTAATGGTGTTTATATTTTCAAACAAACCTTCCGAACCATTCCGTTTAATGATAATAAAAATGCCATCTACATACCATAGCCAGGCTTTTGGTGGACATAAACATCTTGTGATTGCACTGGTTTCTAGAGAATGCATGAATAAATTCACTACAATCGGAAAAACTGGTGAACACATTGTTATACCTTCTTTCTGTCTGTAAAGGTCTCCCCAACATGTGAATAAGGTAGATCGTAAACATAATTTCAAGCACTTAGTAACTTCGGATGTATCTAATGGGCATCGTAAGTTCAAATCTGAGTCGGACTCTAGACAGTCACACATAACATCTAATGCTCCATTGGTAGGTACATTAATAAATAAGGAAGATACGTCAAAACACGGGGTTCATAGAAGTACTTAATTCAATGGTGGTAATATATAAAAAGATTGCATATTTGGATATAGTACAGGAAGAAATAATTAGTTCGTAGAAAGAAAGATATGAAACGATTCTAATCTCACGGTTTAAGGGTAGACAAATAGTGTACACACCTACACCATTGTGATCGATTCTGAGCTATGTCACCAAGAGTCTCCAACCAATTGGCTACGATAGTCACGCGGACCCCAACCAAGTAGTCTGCATCTACCAACATGGCTAAGACTAAAAGTTAGTGACTTCACGAACCGATGTCAAGTTTTGGTTTGGCCGCCCCTAGCTTTCTTCCAACCATCCCCAACACTAGTCAGCATTGAGCATCGTGGTAGTCGGTGTACGTAACACGTAGCCCAAACATCTCAGTCGATGGAGATTCACAACCCCATCAAGTGATTCACTAATATTCCGTAACAGCCTGCGTCTAACCTCACTCCCAGCAGATGGGATAAATATTTCTAAGGCATCTGCGGCCAAATACTAGTAGCTTACGAGTATCCTATCACTGATCACCTCGTCATACGGTTTAGGTATACTAGGTAAGTATTTCGCTAGATTGTATGTCCGTGAATTTGTAAAATCAACCAATCAGTCGAAATACCCCAAACAACAAGATTTAATTACTAATTTCTGGTCCCTGTTCTTTTTACACAATTTATTTCCGCTATAATAATGTGGTAACATTGACAAATACACATTTGCGATGTGTACGAGTACGGATTTAGATCATATTTGGAAAATGTAATTCACCTACAACACATCACTACATGCCTTTTCCGAATAGTTTGCTGGACACAAAGCAGTGACAAAAGTAGTTATACATGGTACATGTTGACCAGATTACTCTGATTAGCGAAAATGAACACATCTAGGTGAAGAACACAACTAAATGATCAGTTGGATTGTTTTTCGTTAGGTTTTTAAACACCTATAATGAACTTTATGAGGACAACTGTTACCATAGCATTTTGCTTCCTTTGAATAAGAGCAATCTATATAAGAACTTTCAACCCCAAAAATTACAAAAAAGCGTCTTACTAATGGGATCGTGAACCTTAAGTTTTCGAATTCCTAACCAAATATCCCCGGACAATAAGAAAAAGTTTAGGATTTCACATCTACCTACTGATTATATCAGTCACACTAGAAAGATGCCAAGTATTATAAGGTAGCAAACATTAAATCTCAAAGACCAGTAGTCAAAATTAAACTTTAAAAGGCATTACGAAATATCCATAGAAAACCGATAGGCAGTTGGGGGAGAAACATGCCGACCTCTGGAAGCTGGGATAGAAAATTAGTGCCTATGTAACCACAAGACAATAGCGAACGGTATGATGGAGATTAAACACTAAAGACCGTTCAAAAGACCTATTTTATACGATAAAACAGTATGGATTAAAACTGTAATATCAAATAAAGTTATAAGTACCATTCAACTTACGCTGCGATTGCTTCGACTGTCGGGTTGTAGTTATCGCCTTTGACACATGCGACAGTTCGCATTGACGATAACTCACCGAGTGAACCAAGGCACGCATTTGCGGTTGGAGCACCATATTGCAGGGCGATCAACTGTTGAAAATTACTGGATAAATCAACAGGAGCCGACTTCTTTAAAGGAATACTCAAGAAATTCATAACCCGCCCGGTTCGAAATTCAGACGAATAGCCCGCAAACCCAAGGTCAAATACATAAGACGTTGTATTACAGAAATAGCAGGAAGAAATTCTACATGAGACTAGATTTGTGACATCAAAATGGGTGTTTTCTTGCAATGCTCAGTTGAATTTTTATATAGTAAGAGAAAGTTATAAATTTTAAGTCATAGTTGCTTCGTTGATTCAAAGTGGTTCAAATGGTTATGGACGAAATAAAAGAATCTTTCGCTCAATGGGCTTCTGTGTCTAGTAGCAGGGGATCGCCAAAACCTCCAGGCAGGAACCTAGGCATGTTAACAAAAAGGGGGGAAAGAACTTGGTAAATCATAGTATGATACTATCCTTTATCCTTAAGAATAGATCAAGTTGCCTGTTAAAGGACTCCTGGGAAGTCGCTTGGACTAGCTCAGCATTTGACAACTCTTAAGGGATAGAAGTTGTGTATACAGTCCGTTCTGCTATGTAGTATTTCCAATTTCTGGGCGTTACCCCTTAAGTTGGTGTTGGAACTAAGCTTAAGTAGGTGTTTAAGGAGATGTCCAGAAGTGTTAATGATACTGTAAGTCATTAGAAGGTCACCTCTAAGACGCCTGTACTCTGACAGATAAGGGTTAAGTAACTGGAGGCGCTGTTCATAAGGTTCAAACTTGAGTCCTCGAACCGATTTCGTGGCTCGCCGTTGGATACGCTCCAGAGTGTCCTTATCCCTGTGGATTGACGGAGGAAATACTGTGTTTCCGTACTCTAAATGGGGACGGGTAAAACTATTGAAGATTATATGGAAAGTCCTTCCGTCAAACTAACCAAAAATGCGCTTCACTGTTGCCAGTGCAAGATTTGCTCGGGAGGCATTTTTGTCACAGTTAGCGTAAGACTTTAAATCGTAGGGCATCAGGACTCCTAAATCTCTTTCGACTCGATATACTACTAGAGAAGAGTTTCCTAAGTTGTAACTGTAGTCTGCGACATGTCTCAGATGGACCACTCTACACTTTGAAGTGTTAAAGGTAAGTCCGTCATCGTCTGCCCAACTTTGAAGTCCAGTCAGATCCGCCTGAAGTGCCTGTATACCGTCTTGGTTGCGTATCTCTCACCAAAGTTTCACGTCATCGGCAAAAAGTAATAAGTCTGACGTTACCTGCTGAGGAAGATCATTTCTGTAGATGAAGAAGAGAAAAGGTCCTAGTACTGAGCCCTGAGGGACCCTACTAGGACATTCCGCAGCCTGAGATAAAGTGAAGTTAACCCTGACCTTAAAATGTCGATTTTTCAGGTATGAAATGAGCCAATCGATTAGAGGTGGTCTGATAACCAATCGTTTGAGCTTACTGATAAGACATGTATGGTTAACCTTATCAAAAGCTTTTGAGAAATCTAGGTAGATGATACCAACCTTCCCCTTGTGATCAAGGATGCCTGTCCATCTGTTCACCGCAGTCAGCAGGTTGATTGTACAAGAGTAACCCTTCCTGAAACCATGCTGTCGGGGTGAGAAGAAATTTGAGGACAGTAACTAGTCAAACAAACCATCGCATACCAGGTACTCCATGATTTTTTAAGGTATTGAGAGAAGAGCCACCGGTCGGTCACTTGGAGGTTCGCTGCATCGACCTCCTTTGAAAATCCGTGTGATGTGAGCCAGTTTCCAATTTTCCGGTAGTTTGCCTCGGCCTAACGAGTGTGAGAACATCACGCTAAGCGGCGTTGCCAGGATTGAAGCTGCTTCTTTCAGTATAGCAGAATGGCCAGGAGAAATGTCTTTTGTTAGGTGCTGCAGTTTCCGGAACACCAAGTAAGCACTCAGGTTCACTACGGAGAGTCCTGTGCAGTTGCAGATGAAGCTGTCATCAGTATAGTTGATGTGGGTCGGTTGTAGTGTCCGAGAGTATGGTTCAGCCAAAAGGTTAGCGGCGTCGCTGCCGTTATTGTTCAGGCCATTAGGACCTAGCAGTTGGGAAACTCAAGTTTTGGCTTGACGAAGAGAGACTGCATAACGGAATAAGCTTTTCGGATTAGAGACAAATTTATCAATAAGCTTTATCCGGTACTGTATCCTATCCTCTCTTATAGCCTTCGTGCGTATGTTCCTTTTATGTTTGTATTGCCTGTATGCGCCGTTGTTATCAGTTCGTTTGTATTCTGCCCAACAGTGCCTTTCGCGACTTAACAAACGAAGAGTGCGGTTCTTGATAATCGTATGTTGCTTGTAGATTTTGGGGACCATTTAAAGAACGGAACTCTTTGTAGCACATATGAGCGTGTGCAGTAAGGAGTCCCATTGAGCATTCACATCGATTTGAGGGTGAACATACCAATCCACCTGTTGTAGATAGTCCTGCAGAGCTGACACATTCAAACGTTTGAAATTCCAACGCAAGTTTTTGGTGGGGTATCTTAGCTCAGTTTTGCTGACGAAACTGAAGGCTACAACGGCGTGATCGCTTTTTCCCAGGGGAGCCAGGATTGAGAGGTTGCCAACTAGGAATTCTTCGTTTGTAAATTCACAGTCTAAGCGCGATGGTGTCTGACTGTTTCTTCAACGAGTTGCCGACCTCACACTTTCGTATAATCACAAGTTATCGATGAGGTTGAAGAACCGAACTTCAGTTTAGTTTTCACCTCCATTACACGTATGTTCCGCGAAGTTGACTCTAGGGAGATTGAAGTCTCCTAGAATCAGGATATGAGTGAAACCGAGACGAGTAGAGCAGAATAGTCCTTCCAGCATACGACTGTCATATTCGATGTCGGCAATGGGATTCCTATATATGACTCCTACTAGACACCTCGAAGTACTAGACAATCTTACAGAGCACCGTATGGATTCCTCAAGATTGTTAAACTCGAGGTTATGAACTTGGTGTATCTCCAAGCAAGATCGTATGTAAACAGCTACTCCACCCCCACCTCCTGATTTTTTGTCGTCGCGAAACAAGGGCATCCCAGGTACTACTAGCTCCTGGCCTGAGAACTGAGAAGATATCCAAGTTTCAGATATTCATATCAGTTAAGCATTATTAGAATTGCTGAGTTCACGGAACCCATCGGTTTTATTCGGCAAACTCGCAGCATTCGTGTATAAGCAGTTTATGCTTTCGATTCGAAACGCGTGAGCTTCTCCTTCTTGTTTGTCTGAATAAGCCTTATGCGAATGGACAGGTAGCCTACCTATGGAAGGTTTTCCAAGTTAGTAGTTCCTGTGTGTTTTTATGATCAGTACAGTCCACAAGTGGAATGGTCAGCTCCAACTGGCCTTTGTGCATGGTCCCGTCGTCATGTGGTTTATTTGGATAGGGTGAATTTATCCAACGCAACCATGTAAACGTAATATATCACCCAGTGTAATAACGATTATCTGTGTGTTCAAGTAACCACAGATTTTGTCATTTCACAATGTGTTTTTAATTAAACAACTAGATTAGGTTATTTTTGCTCTGTTCTTAATTTTTATTCGCCACGTCTGACTGCGTTACACTGTACGTTGATTGCACTCTGGAATGATATCTCAAGTCATAGTTAGTTTAATCACATAGTTTATTGTTTCCAGATAGACCATCAGTGCATGATGTTACTGCCTGTTGTCTTCAGTCTGAAAGCAATATATATCGGTAACAGGATAGCTAAATGTCTGAGCTTTTATTTGCCTGCAGAAGAGCAGTATACAGTCTTAGAAGATGAGTGTTCTGTATCTCAATTAAATGCAGCTGGCTGTGGACAAATGTTAAGAATCTTTTTGACAACTGGGACTTTTAGTTTATCAGCCACTAACTCTGTTTGTATGTCTTCCTGTTAAACTAGACGCAGATGCATGGGAATACTTAAATGAGAGCAAAATAATAAAAGCATTGCGATACGGTACCAAGTCCATGTTATGCTTTGCACAAATAATAGTAGCTGACCTGATCTAATATTGATGAACTCAAGGTAAATCACAACTGCATAAATTCTTTGCTAAAAAGCATGTGATTTGGTTATTTATATATTCCACATTTCTGACTAAGTTCATCACTATTTTCTCATTTAGAATGCAACAGGAGTGAGCATTCACAGATACTAAAAACTGTTTCGCCCTTAGAATTATGGCCCTATGGAACTGTTTACGGGAGACCCAACTAACAGCAGATTATAAAAAGGATGCTGGACGTCCAGTTTAGTCTCACAACCACTTCCAGTATTTTTGACTTCTTTTACTCTTTCGTTTAAAAAAAAAACACCAAAGACTGCAGCTTAACATTACCAATGCAACTTTTAAACGGGAACTTGGTCTAAACCTTTGTTTGATATTCGATTTTTAATGAAAGTTCCTGAAATTTTAGAATCTAATGCTATTTTGTCTTATATGCTTAATCGTTGCAAGAAACGTGTGATATACGAGCCTCTCAGCATCTAGTTCATATGTAGTAAATTTAAGTGATTTAGTACATATCTTCGTCATTTTCTTAGGAAACCTACAGACTCGGGTCCTCTCATAACTTATTCGAACCACCATGAGTTGTCACGGCGGCTGATGGATGCACACGCGTTATATATCCTAACCGTACCTGCGTCTAATCTTATAGCTCCTTATTCAAATGCTATATGGTAAGCAAGCAATGCCCCTACCCTCACTAATGGAACACTAGTAACTCAAAAACACCCTGTATGGCGCCTTACATTCGTCTACGCACTCGCTTAGCTCTTTAGTGAGAATATTATTACAGTCCTGCTAAAAATCCCATGAACCCCCCTACCTTCATCAAAACAAATAAGTTTGTATTCGCTGTATATATAAATTTTATTTTCCTGAAGTAAGATACAACAGTTAGAATTAGAGTAAAATGGCAGTATACAGCAGATGCACGTGGTACATGTCTTCATCGGTTAACTGAAATAGAAAATACAGATATCAGCTTAACAGGCTTATTTAGGAAGACTATTGTCTACTTTGAACTTAGTGCGTGGGAAAGTTACACTGGAAATACGAATAATGTAGGAATCTAGACTCCCAGGGCGTAAGAAGCACTCAAACTGGAGGACAGTTGTCCAAAAATAATTTGAATATGAAGGTGAGAATTCGCAGGTACTTCGCATCGTAAGGGAGAACATATTAGGTACCGGTTGACATCATACCGTAAGAACAAACACAAATTCGCGAGTGGTGAAATATGACGTATAAAAAGTGAGCTGAATAACAGTTAATTACCTTTTTACTCTCTGATCATGACCCTTTTGCTTCCTTTTATGGCCAAAACAGCAAACATACACTACACACTAGTAGCAGATTTCCGGCTTTTCAATGTCAAGCTTGCTTTAACGCACTGCGTAATGAGTACAACCCCTCTATTAATGCTATATGGCATATTTTTCATAACAAACCCTCTGCAATAGATTGATAGCATCTGTGACTTCATCTATGGTTATCGGAAGTCTGAGTCCTTTCGAAAACAATACTGATATCCCCTACTACTGGGCACTCTGTATTAGTTTGACTCGTTGGTGAGATAGTGTTATCCATAGTACTGAAGAAAATTGAAAACCGGAGATTGTTTCCTTTCGTTTTGCCGATAACATCATAAAGGACAATTAGGAACGAACATGCGGACAGTTAGTCACAGGCGGCAGCAACAGTTATCCTAGCTAAAAAAAATGAGCTTTAGCTTTGGATATCTAGAAAACAAGTCAAAACCCAGAAAAAGAAAAATGAGGACAAATTCGGCTCCAACATTCAGAGTATTACACGAACTTCTGCATTTTAGCACACTTAAACAATTAATTCTGTAGCTATGCAAAAGAAATGGCTGATAAAAGCACAGAACGAAGAAAGCCGACCGCCATTGCTCACAAAGATGGCGAATGTAATAATTCCCGGCTAATTCTGATTGGTTGCTAAGCTGGAGGCTACATTTACGAAACTGAATTGCGTTTAATGGCAGCCATTCGGATACATATGAACTCCAATTGGCAACCAGCGTCCGTTGACATGAAATGCTTCCAGCATTGGAGTCGCCATGTGACAGAATAGGAAAGCTGTCTTCATTAGTCGGGATATAGAATCTCCGTCCTTCATGGCTGGTCTCATCACTTGTTGAGCCAGTACGTTTTTGAGCTCTAAGGATTACTTGATGAATTTCCATTCCCTAATATCAGAGTTTGTGTGGTCAGGATATCTCTGTGTCGGTAGCGCTAATGAGTGTTTCACGAAGTAGTTTGGGATGATTTTGATACTTAGAGTTCTTGCCTCGAGTGAGCCGTTTGACCGTCAAACGCTCTATTCTGATAAGTTCGAACTTCTTCGCAGAGCATCCTAGCATGTTTGTACTGAAAACTGAGGAGGAATTTAGGGCTGTCTTTATGGCTCATGATAATGAGAGAATCAGCACTAACTGCTATTGTTTTCCCAGGTTTTCAACTATGGTCAGGTTGAGGACCTTGTTGTTTGGAAGTCGAGGAGCGTTTCCAAATCCTATGCTCTTTGCTGACCGATTGGACATTCTTGGGAGTAGACTGTGCGGTCAAATCGCCAGCTGAGTTCACTACAGTACTTGGAATGTTCAGCTTTTTAGACGGTGACGCCTAGTTCTTTTTAACTTTAGGTTCAATCACCTATAGAGTTTTTTGGGAACCACCGTTGCATTCAGGGATCCTGTGCAGGAAGATCCAAATCTGCTGAGGGAGCCTATTGCCGTTGGTGTTATGATGGAGCAGATTTTCATCATGTCTTCACAAGCGTTAGTACATGCCCCATCGATAGAAACACTGTCGAGATCCCTCTTCTTGCTTTCACTGTGCGTGTGTGTATGTACACCCGTTTTAAGACTGCCTATTTTCAGGTTTGCTCACAATTTATTCCGTAGAACTGTTAGGAGAATGATAATATTGCCCAGCAAAACCTCAGCATTCGCTTTGCACGTTATGCATATACACCTACGATCCGACTTACTGAGTCTGATGTAAGCGGTTACTGTAAAATCTGTGCACGATTCGTGGAACTAACCTTTGCAACTGTCACACTTCAAGCCAGACGTAACAGAAAAAAGGCAATCGCGTCTCTTGCATGAATTTTTCATGACTTTATTGACGTAAATTGTCATATATGTCGTAGCACAAGTCCACGACCGTAAAACGAAAAAATTCAGTACACTAAAAACGGACAAAAATGGATGAAATCGAGTGGTGCGAAAGGTTAGGATAAACTGAAACCAATCTTGGCGTGAGAAACTGAAAAAACCGAGTAGTAAGCTGAGGCAAAACCACAGTTAGCTATTAAGATGTGAAAAATAAAAGTAATCTACTGAACGTAAAACTCAGGACAGATTCTTCAGATCAGAACTGGTGCTTTTGTTGCGTGAGGAAACAAATTGTGACTAAACTTCCCGATCAAAATGAGCGCGTGATAAATGGTGAATAATGATGAGAGGAAATTTCCGTCCGTCTTCGAAGTTGCATTGGAACGATACATCTTCTTACAGACGTTGATACCTTTTTCTGTAGAACACCCAACTAACTCAAGGTACGCTGTTAGGTGGCCATGGCATTCTCGTGTGCATTTCATATTCTCCAGGATTTCCAAACGATTTAAAAATGTCACGTGTATTTCAAGTTTAATATCGCCTTTACACGTGACACCTTTATAATCGATGTATATCAATCCAATCAAATCAAAAGTCGGAAACAAAAAAGTTCGAAGATATGTTTGAAAGGCTAGAGATATGTCGAGAAGCGTTTGGTATAAGCTAGCTGACAGTTGCATGGAATGCGTAGTATGGCATGACCACTTGTGACCTGGGATCGGTACCACATTTCGTTGGGTGGATTATATAGTTTTGTAGCAGGCCAAAATATAATTGCTTATGTGAGTTCATAGAAATAAAAGGCTGAAATCTTTCAATTTCTGGGCATATTTTGACTTTAGCTGAACAGTAAAATGATCAAATGTTTAATGAAACTCATTCTGCTGAAAAGTCACAGGAAACTTAAGTGATGGAACACTTGGTGTATGTTCACTTAAAAGATTCGTCCAGAGAATACTGAATAACAATGTCTTTTATCTACTTATTTGGAAATTAAAAATATCTGTATTGTTTTACTTTTCCAAATCATCGATACGAACAGTGTTTACAGTCTCCCGCCTCATCCAAGCATCATGTCAACTATAAGACCGTCCGATCATTTTGGTGACAATCCAGGTGATCAAGAAGATTCTGTGGACTTTGAATTTTTTGAAGAACACAGGTAGGTGATCGGAATGATGAATGTTTTAGCTATACGAACGAAATGTGGTATTAAAAGATAATTTAATTATTACCATGTGATATATATGTATGTGAGTATCATGCAACATGATGACTAAGGTAATTCCACTTTTCTACAAAATCCTTTTCACTGACATTGAGGTTCGTCGTCATATGCCCCAAATTTCTATTATTTTCTAAAATGTCTTTACAATAATGGAATAACATCACCAATCGTTAATATTATTCTAATCATGATGGAATTTCACCAGAAATACTGATTTAAAACATATGCATATATTTGAAAAATTTTTGTTTGAATTTCGGCGCATCTCATAGCCTTTTTGTCTACCGGATAATACCACTCAATTTTCCTCTCCAGCGGATTACAAAGTAATCATCTTGGAGTGTTTCCTCATTTTTATCGTCTAAGTTTTTCATCGAGTCTCCTTCGTTCCTCTTGAGCTCTCTGTTTGCCTTGGATTTTCATTTTAGTGGGGACATAGCACTTCAAGCGGTAGATGTCAATATATTTCACTATTTGAATGAGTTTATTATTAATAATTCATTATTTTCCATACTTGACATACTTTACTTGGGTATTGGTCTGTTAAACGCAGATCATTTTTGCAATGTCGGCACAATAAGAGGTACTGCGAGTACGTCCTTTATGAACGTCCATAACAGCCAGATTCGTCTATTGGTTTTACTTATCTTACCAAACATTCCTAAATTACGATATCAACGCTTTTTGTACTTCTTTCTCCTTGTTTCTGAGACGATTTTACAAATTTGTGTACGAGTATGTAATGGGCCAGATCTAAGCAAAAGTCTGTACATTAATATCAGTAATCACGTAAAAAACGGGAATGGTTAACATATAAATGAAATTCTAACAGCAAATGATCACTTAATGCTGAATTTGAAAACAAATGTCATCTGGTAGAATATTTCTTTAAGCACATTACAAATAAGTTCATCCTCTTGCCTATGCTTTTAAAAGCGCCTAGATGACGTTGGATTTTCAGATTTATATTTCAAGACCGTACTAATTCACGTTCAGCCAAGAATTTCTCAAAGTTTATGTGCGAATTAAATGTCCGAGACACTGTAGTCAGTGTACGGCCAGGCTCTAGTCCTAACTGAACAGAAGACTGAGGCAAGAAAAATACAGTGTATTTAACACGCGATTGCGATATCAAACTTCGTATGATAAACATGACAAGTGATATGTATAATGCAGTGGTTATGTACAAATGAACTATGCTAAACATCTATATAACTAAACATGAAATATCACAAATATAAGAGAGGATAAATTATTTTACCAGAACTATAAAAATTACTACATTTTCTGTCACTACGTGTATTTTATTTTTGAATAAACACTGTGCTATGCAACAAAAAATACTTAAACAGAGCAAAAATAACGCGGTTTGCAGAATAAAATCAATTCTTCCCATTTCATGGTTTCTTACCAGCCGCATACAACCCAAAATTACAATTAATAATATCAATATAATTATTAACGAATATTTAGCATACTTTGGTTTGTGTAGTTTAGATAAATGTTCGAAACGTGACCCAAAATCATAATAATAAAAAGAACAGGGATACAAAGTATATGAATTGACATACTTAAGATCAATGTGTATTTATAAGTCGGGGAGTAATAAGTTAGAGGTCACGTAAAGTTAAGAAAATCAGTAAGTGATTGGGTAATCCCATGATGAAATAAACAAATATATGGACAATCAAACAATGTGAGAGATAAATATCAGATGATCAAATAGAAATAATTATAAAAGGTTGGGGATAGGGTTGAAAGAGATTAAAGTTAAAATAAAAAAAGTTTATTAGGTGAACCCATGACTACCAAGGGAAGAAAAGCCTAATCACACTATTTTTCTGTATATATAGGTCAGGTCTGAAACGTTTGATAGCGATTGCTTCTGCCTAACGGAGTAAAATTCATGCTTTTCGTCTGTTAACCATTTTGAATACACTGCTCACATCTACTTCACGTCGACTACCCAAATAATGTCTTGCGCTTACACTTGTAAATATTTCGCTCTCTTTCAGCCGTATGTTCCTAGAAATGTGTTCGGAAAACATTGTAAAGGTCCTACTCTCTGTTATTTCCATGTGCTTGTAATTTTTGGTTGTATGCAGCTGATGATAATCCGTAAAATAGGATGAATTCATTGTATTCTGCGAATCGTACTTTGCTTGCTTTTTTCAAATTTTTTAAGGGCTTTGGTTGAATTTTAACCAGGTAGTAATTGAGATGCTTGATGTTAAGAACAAGTAAACACATAATCCAGTGACCTTGATATATACTTTAGTTAGAGCTGCTTAATCTATTAATGCTGTGAATTTTATATATTCAACTGGCTGTTTATTAATTTATATCAACTACTGCTCAGTCTAGTTTGTTTACATTTGCCTGATAACCACGTAATTAAATCATGTATGACTGAATGTAATTTTAATAGTCTTTGAATCAGCAGTTAGATCACTGGTTGTGTCTATCACAATCTCAGTAATATAAAATCCGAAAAAAAATCAATTCACTTTTTGTAGTGTACTGCAATACGCATAAAGAAAAATAGTTTTAATCGACACTAAATGTTAGTACACAAAGTATTTACAAAATTGACAAAATAATGTATCGTGAGACATGCTATCTGTCTTTACTTCCTATTATTCGTTGTCTCAATAACCTCCAGTAAGTAATACAAAATCAGTCAAATCTATTTTAACATATGTTAAGTATAGCGGCATATGGAATTATTTACACGGTAGCAAAATAGTAACCTGTTATAATTCTATTTTCTTACGGTTAATGACCCAGCTATTCCTATTGCTTAGTATTCTCGGACACCGATTCACTCGACAAGTCCCCAAATCAGAACACGGTTGAACAGGAAAAGATTATATTCCAAATAGCAAGTCAGAAGCCAGTAGGAAGCACAATAGGGGAAAACGTCGGTATATTTATAGTTTTTACATAAGAAGAATCCAGAATATTCTCCAACTATCGACTAGCGCTGATTGGATAAGAATTAGCCAATCAGCGTGCACCAAAGCAATCATGCATTGAGCATGCTTTAGTCTAGTCTATGTCCCGCTAACACCTCCCCTCTGAGCAGATTCGTAGGATCTGGTGCTAGGGTCCAACTGCAACTGAGTGACTGGCTTGTGCTTTCGATTAGTCCATCGTCTAGGCAATGAAGAATTATCACTTTTTCCTTGCACAGAGACTGACATGTCTGTTCCCGGCGTTTTGATTTTTCTTAAAAAAAGTATGCATAACTTTTAATTCTCCAACATTCTCCTCCTCCTCGAAATAATGTTGGGTCCTTATGGCTCCAAATTATAACTAGTAGGACTTTATTTAAACCATGTTTCTCGTATTGACTGGAGAATCCACTAAAAATGACTAGATGATGATGAACAACCTTTGATCTGAGTTCATTATTTTCAAATTCATTATGAATCTCGTTAGCTGATAACGAGTCATTAAGAAAGTCAACGTCTAACAGAATTAGATTAGATTTTTGGCCATCATTCGACTCAGCTGACATATTTCCCTCATTGTTATAAGAAGGTTCATCAAAATCATATGCATTATTCTGAGAATCAATATCTGGTACACTGTCATTAGAAATGGGATAAGTTGACTCAATATAAAATTCTGTCTTCCGGTGATTTTGAGTAACATCTGGTACAATTTGGTTCATCGTGTTGCTCCAGTTATTTTCTGAATACGAGTCACCATAGCTTTCTCGACTAATAGCACGTGGACCACAATTTTGTTCGAGCTGACGTTTATTTTCGCAGCTAGACAGTACCAGTAGTGTTTCATTTGATTCTGGACTCTGGGCATCATCTACAGGATCTGGTTCCTGATCATCTGGTATTGTCACAACTTCATGTGCATTCAGCACAGTATTTTCTTGCTGTGAGCCGGAAACGTTACAAATATTACGTTCTGATTCAGGTATAAAGGGATTTGAACCCTCCACTTGATATGCTTCTGAAATGTCTGTTACTGCATCATAAACAGATTTCTTATTTTCTGGTCGAGTGAAAAGTGTGTTCAATAGTTGTTGTTGCAAGGCTAACAACTTCTGCTGGTGCTGTAATATTAACCGCAACTGTTCTAAAGAAATCGCCATTTTTCTTTAGTTTTTCCCCGTCGCCACTGTTATAATTCTATTTTCTTACGGTTAATGACCCAGCTATTCCTATTGCTTAGTATTCTCGGACACCGATTCACTCGACAAGTCCCCAAATCAGAACACGGTTGAACAGGAAAAAGATTATATTCCAAATAGCAAGTCAGAAGCCAGTAGGAAGCACAATAGGGGAAAACGTCGGTATATTTATAGTTTTTACATAAGAAGAATCCAGAATATTCTCCAACTATCGACTAGCGCTGATTGGATAAGAATTAGCCAATCAGCGTGCACCAAAGCAATCATGCATTGAGCATGCTTTAGTCTAGTCTATGTCCCGCTAACATAACCCGAGTAAATTGTCATGTTGAATTTCATCGTAAAAATATTTTTCTATAAGTACTTTAACTGAGTAATTAGTTAGAGTTTAGCTGATATACTTATTTTCAAGAATGTCTGGTGAGAAGTTTTAAAAGAAAATGAAAAGAAACTTCGTCATACGAATTCTTTTTATTAAGATACAATTTTCGAATTCCTGCAAATTTTAGTGAACTTAAAGTGTTAACTATGGTATGATGGTAACGGGAATTTGTGTAACTATTCCTATAAGTATACAAATTGTTTGCATATGCAATTTAGTCGATCACGAACTCCTATAATTAGTTGCAAATGTCCATTTGAAACTATGACTTTTACAGGCTTCACAACTTCAAACTTTTCAAGGCAATATTGTTTATACGGGGGCACGACATTAAAGTCATTCATTTTAATAACATAAGACCTGTTTGTTGTCACAGATCTTAATTTGTAGCACTTATGTCTGTGATAAGAATCGACTGGCAAAATGATATTTTAATTCAATTGGTAGAAATCCTTATATTTACTGATTAAGGAACCATAAATGGGAAATATAGATATACTTGCAAATGAATTAATATCTGAATGTCAGTCACAAGTTATCAACTTAGTATCAAATGCAGTTAAAAAGAATGCATTATATTTGAAAAGCTCAGTTAATGCAATGATAGAGTGGTTACAAGCAATAATAAAATAAAATTAATGGAGAGTCTTAATTTTAATAATCTGAAATTAGTCATATTATTACACTTAGAATCTTCAAAAAAATACAACTTCAAATACAGAATCATAAGTGTGGTCTCAGCATATTCAACTAAGTATTTCCCCTAAAGCAAACTCATGAAAACCATTGATTTACTTAGCTATAAAACTAAAACTAATAGGTTGTTCGTGTGGTTCTAGACCAAGTTATGTAGTAAAATTTCATTATTACAATGGAGCAGCAAATGAACCTTATTATTTATTCACTCTCGGTAATCACGCACCGACAGAGAATGGCCTTAAACTTTGAGTCAGTGATGAGTTTGGAATCCATAGATGAGACATAAAACGTGAAAACTGTGGAAGGTGTGAAATAAATCGAAATTATCACCTCTTAATCAATATTGCAATAGACAGATCTCATATCGTTTTGTTTTGAGTGTTGATATAGTGATTAGAATTCTTCGAATTATTGTACTGATGAGGAATTCGCAAAATAGTGCAGTTTGATGTAAGTAGAACTAGATGAGCACAAATGAAAGTATTCCATTTGGAATTCGTAATAAGCAGGCAATCAAGTACAAAGGAGTCATTAGCTCGTACAAATGCCACAGTTAATCAATAAATAAGCATGATGGTCAGATCTTAGTGTTGTTCAGACTTAGTTGATCTGAAAAAACACTTACTTTTAAATCACCTACGTTTAAACACACTTTTAATCATGTTTGGTTTTGTCTGATATTCTGTATACAAGCACGTAAATTTACTAACAAAATAACTTGTTTTGTTCAACAGTTGTGTTGTTTTCCAATATCTATAAATTCGGTGACTTGCGTTAATAATTCGGTCTCATGAGCAGTTGTCATTAGGCGGCATCAATTTCAACTCTATTAGTTTATTTAACAATATTTGTGCATCCTCAATTATTGATCACAACATTCCACAGTTTAACAGATTAACTGCCTGGTTTTTATGGAGATTAAAGATATAGGAATAAGTCGGAGTACTTATTATATTATCTCTATGAAGAAAGATCAGTCGTACTTGCATGCTGTAAAGTTATTTAATTTAAAAAAGTAATACCCCACCATTTATTTTTAACTAATTCTAGGTTGGATATCCACCACTGAAATGGGAGGTGAAACACCATTACAGACATTGGATCATTAAATTCCGACTAATTATCTAAATGATACTGTTTTCTTTAAGAGGTTTAGAAATTCTGTTATTGACTTGATGTTACGATCGTAGGTGGAAACTATTGAGAATATCTAAAATGATGAGGAATTAAATCTCAATTCTCTTCGGATATTATGGATTCTTCTTTTGAATAATACCATCAGATTAACTAATTTTCTGTTGTATATAAGTAATAGAGGAAATTCTAACAATAAATGAAAATCCGTTAATAAAAACTTTAAAGTGCCAACTTTACACGTATTAAAAATGTGTTATATATATAACGTTTGATAAAATTTTAACAAATAATCAAAATAAGGTAATTATATTTCATATGGGTGTTAAACTTTATGATTTAGTATGTATGAGGGTCTCTTTTCTTTAATTTTTCATAAAATGAGATTGGTTATGTTTTATTCTGAGAGCTTTCTACCATACTCAGTTTTTTGTATATTTAAATAATCTTATTCTAGGCATCAGGATATTTTATTCTATTAATCATTTTATAGACAGTTTTTTAGCCTCTTCACAACCCATGTTAAGTTTAACAAAAGACATGTACATGATTCAATACGTTTATGGAAACGAAAACTAACTAATAAAATTACATACATTTCTGAGTCCTTAGTGCTACCACTCTTATAGTTATTTGAGGCAATATCCGGGATGATAATGTTGGTATATAATTTTAATCTAAAATATATATCCAGGTACTTCAGAAATCACGATATATATATATATATATATATATATATATATTGTAGAGGGTTATGAATAAATTCAGTAAAGGAAATTCAATAATAATATGTTATAGATACCTGAACAACTCGGTGATTTCATTTTAAAAATTTAGAATTCTTTTAAAAGGATTTTGAGTTTAGCAGTTGGCTGAAACGAAAAATGCCCATTAAAGATGAAAAGACGAATGGGTGGTTAAACGAAAAGAGGTTTCTTTGCTGAACTAACTTTTGTTTATCAGTTTATTTAGATGATAGTAATTAATTCATTAAAAACTAAGTGATATCATCCATTTTCAAATAGACAGTTTTCTTCGAAAACTTCAGAAAAGCTTCTTTTGTTTAATTAATATTTTGACAGCTAACAATTCTTACTCTTTCTACCATCTGTTTCGTAATTTTAATTTGTATCGTTTTTTTGTATGAACAAAGAGAGTCTATACCGGGATCATTGAAAAAGAATGACAACAATAACTCAAATTTAGTTAAAGCAAACAATAAAACTTTTGTAGTAGAAGAAAAACAGGAAGGTGATCTGTATAAACGGAATGAAGATCTTGAATTAAGCGATGAAACATATCATAGCACTGAAGAGGAAGAAAAGAACAAGAAGGGGATAGAAGATGAAAATAATTGGGTTAAGAGTCCAACATTTCACAAATCAGTTAACAATTCTGATAAAAGTAATAGAAATAAAGCTGTAGTGAAGGATATTGACAGTGACTCAGTGAATGATGATGACGAAGAAGAACAATCAATTTCATCTGGCGACATTTCTAATATTCCTAGATATAAAAACAGAAATGTAACATCTAGAAATTCTCCAATACGACAATCACCAAATAAAAATAATGACCGGAAAAAGCAAACCAGACCCTCATTTCGTATTGCTTCGAATTCTGATATTTTTAATATGAACAATGAATGTATTAATGTTGCACAAATTGCAGATGCTTTGAAAAGTTTTGACAAAAAAATACATCGTTTACATATTCGTCCACCATGGAAAGATCCGAATTCAAGACCACTTCCAAGTGATCGGACAACAGCATTTTATAACATGTACGAGGATTATTTAAAATATCGAAATCAGCGACCATTGTCAAGTTTAGGATATTCAACAACAAAATGTTTGAATGACGAAATAGCTGTGCGTAGATTGTACCATTCAACACTGAATCGTTTGCGTCAAAATGAAAAAATACAGCTGGAAAACTATGTAAGTTCGTCATGAACTAAATATGGTTTATTATTTCAATTTGAAGCTTATCAAATCTTCTTAGGATGTTTGTAAATCTATTGAGATACGGACACACGAAATAATGAATCGAAATTCTACTTTATATCTACTCGCTCTATATGTACTTAGGTCTTCAATATTATTTTCAGTGTTTTCCTAATTTCTGCTCTCTTTTCTATTAGTGTGAAGTTTGTAAATGACGAGACCATAATTTGAAAGTGAATCAACCATATTTAAGATGGCTAATCTTGTGTTTTGATGTTAGATTTACTCATGCATATGGCTAAATAGCTTTTTAGGCCTTATATTTGATGTGAGTTCATGGTTAAAACCTTAGCTTTCGACTCTCGATCCCGATAGTGATTCCTTACGCACATTTATATCCTTTTTTAGATCGAAATAGGCAGGTGAATTTTCTCAGGGTCACTTTGTGGTCCCTTAAATGTCATGCAAATGTCATCAAACCTTGAAACTTTATTTCCATTTTGATTTTGACAGATTAATAATCAATTCAAGAAAAGATATATTTAAAAATACATGACATAAAAAATGTGTAAGATTTAAGTACAAGAAGGTATTATAATCGTGCATTTGTGCAATTAAACTTGTTACGGTAAATCTACTAATTTGGTTATAAAGTTTACTCATTTAAAAGAGAGTTGTATTATTATTATTTCTTTATCTGTAAACAAATGGATTTGAACTATATTGAAGTATATTGAGGATACGGAAAAATAAATTTCATTAAGAGCACGTTAAAAGGAATGATACTATAGTAGTAGGAATTTGAGAAAACACAAAGAACATGTTTTTCATGACTTGCGTTCGCACGCAAGACCGAAGGCCCTGGGTTCAAATCCCGCGAGCGGGATCGTGAATGCACACTGCTGACGAGTCCCACAATAGGATGAAATGGCCGTCCAATGCTTCCAGATTTTCAATGCTGGTCAAACATCAATCAGTTCATGATCTCAATCAAAAACTTAATAATCTCCACAACCACATACTGATAATTACGACATACTAACTTGTGACTAGCTTTGTGAGGGAATTCTCGAAGTTCTAGTGAGAAGCCATGACCAATGGAACGAAATATCTAAATATACATTTGTTTTAACAGCTTCTTCTATTTTCAATTATTATTTACTTTTTCTTTTCAATAATACTTAGGAATTAGCTAAGCGCTTACAAAAAATTCGACCAACAACTGGTATGACTAAAGAAGAACAATTACGAGATTATAAAAAGTATTTTATTACACCGAACTCATTGTATCCTTATTATAAATCTGATTTTATTTCTTATCGAAAAAATTCTCATATAAATCAAAACCTTATTAAAAATAAAAAACAAATTAATACTTTAAAACCAAATGAATTCACATCTAAATCTGTAAATAATAATTCATCATACAATAAATACCAAACGAGTAATAATAATAATAATGATAAAAATAATTTGAAGCGATCAAACAAAGATGTGAAAGAAAAAATAAAACTTGAAAATTCTTATAATTCTGAATTTAAACATGAATCACATGATTCACATTCTTCTACATTGAATCATCAAGTGAAATATTCGAAACAATTCAATAAACCAATCATTGTTAAACAACAACAATCTTCCAATAATCGTCCATCATCATCATCATCATCGTCAACATCATCAACATCTTCAAGTTCATTTAATTCATCATCTGAATTATCAGTGAAATAATAATAAAAAAATATACTTTTAAAATGAATTAATTTTCAAATTTTACTCAATTTATTTATTTTTTGTTTTTGGAAAAAAATTGTATTTTTAAATACGGTGAATAAGATTTTAACTTTAAAATTAAATATAAAATAACAAACATTTAAACAAATGAACTATTGAACAATTGAAATATCTTTTTCTTTTAAATGTATTTGGGATATCTATCGAATGATAAGCGTGTTATAGAAATAATATTAATATATTGAATGAAAAATAAATTTTTGTTTATTTCAACCTTTTTTTTAATGATTAATTTTTCTAATTGATTTATCTTATATACATAGTACAAAATGAATCTGTCCCATAGAAATGATATTGATTATTTCTGATAACTATAGATAATCAATAAAGATGGTTGTACGTTTGTTTTCTTTTTTTTAAATTTACCTCCTATCAATTATTTCATAGTTTTATATTTTTAATCAAGGATCAGTAACCAAGTATTTTGTAAATCATATATACATACTGCTTGAAATGTTTTACAAATGGGATTAACTTTGTTTTAGTTGTTTAAATATCATTTTATTAAAATAAATGATACAATGTTTTTTTTTCGTTATTAATCTTTTTTTTTCATGGATTGATATCACTTTCAATACTATAGAAATCTAGAAAGTATTGAATATCTATCTGTTTTTGAATAGTTCATGTTCATTAATCAGAACAAATTTCATTTATTGATTAATTTATCTAGTTGTGTTATTTTTTTCACTGAAGACTATAAATGTTGAGTGATATATGTAACGAACAGTTTTAGTTTTATTTTAAACCCCAGGATTATAGGAACTCTGCAATACTCATTGGGTGGTGATCAATGTCATGTGTGTCAAATCCTTCTTAGTGCAGATCGAATGCTATTGGCCAATCGATCAATCAATTGTGAATACATCTCAGTCCTACAGGAGGTCAGTCGCGGCCCGGATAACTCAGTGGTAACGTCTCTGACTATGAAGCTGGGCGACACGGGATTGAATCCGTCAGAGAGCACTGAAATTACAGGTACACCTTGCTGACGTGTGCGAAGTAGCACGAAACCCGGGTCCAGGGTTTCCTGTTGATTAACTCCAACCACCATTTTATCTCAACATAGTGGACGCAATGTCGAGTCACCCAGACTAGTGGCTACATTGCAACTTACTCGATAGCGTTCGATCTGCACTAAGAAGGACCTGACACACATAATATTGATCATCACCCAGTGATCAATCAATTGTGAATACTCACTGTCGTTTGTCTCTTCCATGAGCCTAAGTACACTTGCACTCACAATCGTCAGGACTCATGATGATATTAATTTCAAACCACTAAATTGAAACAACTAAAAAGTATCCAGATTTCATAAGTTTTTCAGGTGATATCATTTTGAAGTGGATACTATTTCTATGTCAAACTAAACTTCACAAATCGCCTGATAGGAAATAAGTTCTCAAAATATCTTGAATCCATTTATCCAAAAAACTGCTGTATTATCATTCGTCTAGATAGGTCTAGATAGGCGTCAATTATTTACTCTGGTATCTACTTTAAAACAAAATCACATTTCATACACAAAATCTCACTATTAAGCTAAAGTAACGCTATTAATATAGCGGTTTCTGTAATTCATAGATATCACTGTATAGCTAAAAAAATGTTGGCGAAACACAAGCAGTTAGATTTCACTAGAGAACTGAAAGATAAAGATTTTAATAACTAATAAATTGCTCCTGAAAATCTTCTAAAAATTCTTAGCATTCTTTCGGAATTTTACATTTCTCTTATAAAACGGTCGAAATTTTGAGGGAAATTGTGATTTGTACAGATTCAGTTTATTGTGCGGTTCACTACTAATTCTGTCATCCTTGAATCTTTAAAAAGTTGATGTTTTTGTGCAAATTTAACTACATTGCAGTCTGGTCCACAGAATGGTGATTTCTATACATGTTGTTAATGCATAATGAAGAGTGTCTAATTTAATCATTCTGCTATTAAGTCAAACATTTTGAATTGTCACATTTTATTTTATGATAGTTACCGAATTAATCTTATCAATTAATTTGTAATACAGAGTTGTTAGGCGGAGGTGGACTATCTCACCCCATATTTGGTTAACTTCACTGTGATCATCTACAGTACTTAGTTAACTTCTAGTAAAGTGTACCATTATTATCAGGTTGAATGCTCTTGTGGTGATTCCGTATAATCTTAAACTTCCCATCATGATCTGACGCAGTTTAAAAAACATAACACAATGAGTGAGTCTGGTAATTTAGACGAGTGGATTTGATCTTAGTGATTAAAAATCGCTGTGCTCACTGTGATACTTGATAACCTAGATTCATTCCGCCGTATAATCGCAAATATAGTTTATTGAGAAATTTTAATCTACAACAAAGCAGTTGTCTTGTTCTGGATATATTCTGATGGTTATCCAGTTGATGTCAGTTAGAGACAAAGATCTTTTTCAAATTAGTGTCTTATTATCGTTAGGGCAGTTTGCTGAAACCAATATGTTAGAAATCAGGAAATTATAAATTTAATAAATATTGAAGTGCTAATAAACTCAGGTGTCTAAAACTTCTAACGGATATGTCATTCATTCACATAGTATTATGAGGAGTGATACACTGAACATGGTGAAAGAAATCGTGGAAACATTAAACAAGTTCTATCGGTTCACCAAGTTTTGATTATCTTTGTCCAAAGAGGTATGTATATTTTAATGTGTTATTTCCTTACATTAAAAGTGAGTAGTTGAAAAGTATCTCAAATAATTTGTTTACTGTCTTACCTTTCATTAAAGAATTTAGACATGGTTATTTTGTATTCAATTTTACTTCATTAACTTGTCTAATTTCTCGTCATTGCTTTCATCATTTGTACTCTCTTCTCAATATTACTCATTTTTGGATTCTGGATGATTATGCCAACTAGTCTTCATAGTTTTGCGTTATTAAATTTATTTTTGAGTCACATAGTTTGACCACATCAACGAGTTAAATTACAAATCTCTATCAATGTGACAATAAGGTCAATAAAACAAATAAAATTATATTAGTAGGTCAATGTAAGTCTTTGAAGTGGAATACGATAAACTATCAAAGCTGTCATCCTATAAATAATTAATTACAAAAATATAAACAAAAAGTATGATGATATTCTCAGAAAGAAAAGGATAAAACAGACTAATATTATTTTTAGTTGTAGATTTCAAAATTACCTGGAACTATATAAAGAATTTGAAATTTACAAACCAACAAAATTTCACGACTATTATTCGTGAAATTATTTGTTCAGTTTCGCAATTTTCCACTAAATAAATCAGGTTGACCAGAAGAATTTTTTAAAAATTCGAACTGAGAAAAAATTTCAACAATTATCATACATTTCAATAGTTGAGATCATGAGCCAATTGAAGCTAGACCACTATGGAAAACGTGGAAGCACTGAACGGCTGTTTCTTCCAATTGTGGAACTGCCCCCAAATGCCCTAATATGGCTGAGAGTGAGGTGGGCCCGCCCTCCCTCTCGAGATGCTCTCACGCGTACACAGCCTCTGCCAGGGAAGTCCTTCTCACTGCCTTCTCGTGGCATTACTGTTGTTTACGAAAATGAGAGGACGAAAAGCGAATGTCCGGCGCTTTAGCCGGATTCCAGACCAATGGTGCACATGGGATCCAGTATCCTGAAGGAACAAACGGCGTATGAACCAATTGTTGGTCACCGGCCACCATGGAACTGCATCTCCTCACGATGTTCTACTGCTTTGTGGATCAGACCTTCAGGTCGAAGGCTCGGGGAGTGGCCCCCTAAGAAAGCCACCTGCTTCGATCCGGGCACCCAGGCAGTATCACAGCCCATCCACAATTATGATGGACTATGTATATTTATGGAAAATACTATTCTTGCTGTGATTAACAATCAAACGATTCACATTATTATTATTATTACTATTGCTATTATTATTATTAATATTGTTATTTACTACGTCATTTATTTACTCTCTTTTATTCCCACTCTGTCTATCCTTACTTTTCGACTTATACAGCAGCTCGCCTATGATGGAAATTCGGTTCTATCTAAACGTTCTCGAGTCACTGCCTGATTGAAAATTGTATGCTATTCTTCACGACTCCCTGTCGGGGTCCGAGAGATGGTGCGACACAGTGGTTAGAGACATCATCAGATATGGCTCAGAATAGAACTTAGTGGCGATCCTGCCGTAACCTTTTTTATTTTCCTCATAAAAAGTGGTTGTATCTTCCTTAACTGAAAGATTTCTTCTGGTTATACCTTTCCGTTCCCCCCATTATTATTATTATTATTATTGTTATTATTAATATTAATATTACACCACCTTACATTAATCTGGTCGCTATTGTTCTTCTTTTTTCTTTTACGCTCCTTACCTTCTCTTTTTGTATTTTCATTCTCTTTGTTTTGTGTGGCGCATATATATTTGGTGCCCTCTTGTACCAATATTTATGTGTTCAAATAAATAAATAAATTGTGGAATTCCTCAGTAGGGCGCATCCATGATTCCGCCTCGCGAGATCCGAAGCCGGGGTCTATTGTTCTCGCGTGCGAACGCTCAACCTCTAAATTACTGAGCTGACATCCAAGATCTTGGGTTTGAATGTCGCGAGGCGGGATCGTGGATGAGCACTGCTGAGGAGTCCAACAATAGGTCAAAACGGCCGTCCAATGCTTCCGGGTTTTCCATAATGGTCTAGCTTCAATTGACTCATGATCTCAACCATTAAAAATTACTGTAATTTCAGAAAACCCCTTCTGATATTAGTTATAATACAGTTTATATATTAGGTATTTAGAAGTGAATGACACGATTATTGAAAATTCCTGATTAGGATATTTTTGATTTTCATTAAACATTTATGTGTGAAATTTTAAAGAAAGTAGTGTTTTTCACACAGATTTTATTACTTAATTCGCTTTGTTGTTTCTAATAACATTATTTGTTATAAATATAGTCTCTTTGTAACTGGGTGACGATCTTATCCTTTAGAACCGATTTCAGTTAAACAAGTTCAGAAATA